TATGGCTACAATATATATAAGTGGCAGTAAACATTTCCATGGTGATAATAAAATTAATAGCTATTTTTAAATACTCTATTGTTTATATTAAATATACATCTCGACGGAACATGGATGTCGTTGATCTAAATTCTTCGAAGTAGAGGTCGCTACAGATTTGGACATGGTGGCGCCATCTACCGATTAATTATAAGTACTAATTGTTTTTAGAAATTTTTATTTACGCATTTTACGCTTCTAATGGGCCATAGAAAGGAAGCTGAGGATCCAATTAAGATGATAAAATTACAAAAGTTTGCAATTTAATTTTTTAAACTACTTTTTTTTGCAAATAAATATTTGTCTGTTTTATGGGGATGTAGCGACCGTTACCTCTTCAAAATTAACACCAACGCCATCTACATTAAAACAATCGTTCCGCCGAAAAGTGAGTTTCCTGTAAATCGACATCGCCAACTCTATATAAACTCTTAACATAAGAATATTTATTAATTGTTATTTTATTTTTATTATTACTATAGAGATGTTATTACCATGTTTACTTATTGATAGAGATGTATATATAGACCCCATCTTAGAATTTGTTATTCATTCCTTCAATTTTTCGATCACGACCACTTTTTTTCATAATTAGATTGAAATCTTCCCTTTATAATGAGCCCTTAAAACTACTTGTATAATTTGTTTTCGCCATTTTACTAAACTTTAAACAAAAATTCATTAATTTTTAACGAGTTATATTAAAAAATGACGAGTTATATTAAAAAATGACGTCGTATGCACGTCATTGAATTCATCTTAACAAATGATTTCGAAATTTCTAAAACGAATGTTCTCCAAAAAATAATTTAACCGCACAATGTAACTTTATACCAAAAAAATTGTAGAAACATCTCTTGTAGAAACATTTCTTCGATAGTTCCAAGCTTTTATAAAATTAAGTTTTCAGGATTCATTCTGAAGCTACGCACTAAAATAAATAAAAAACATATCTAATTCACATCTAATTATGTTGTTAAAAAATATATTTCAATTAATTTTTTTCTAATTTCTTGACTTTAAATATAAATATACGTAAATAATCAAATATAAATATATAATCAAATATATAATAAATTTTTCATTGCAATTTTCATCAATTGCTGTTAAAGTCATAACGTTCAATTTAATAAATAATTCGGAGCAACACTATCCATATATTTTGATTTTAATTTCCATCGTTAGTAGCGCTGCGACAAAACTTGCTTAAATCGGTATGATAGGATGAGACGTGAAAATAGGATTTCAAAAAAATACGTTGCATCTTATAGATCTATACTTTGTCTGTGTTATCATGAATATTTCGCAAATAAATCGCTATGTTATCATGAATATTTCTCTGTGTTATCATGAATATTTCGCAAATAAATTTCTACTCATAGGTTTTTCGAAATTCTATCAAACACGATTATTGTACGTCAGGTCTACTTTGTGATTAGTCAATGATTGTACCACTATTATATTCTCAATATTAAAATATATGTTTGAATCTGTACCTAAAATGCTCATTAAATATACAAAGTCATTGCTCTACATATGTATGTATACATAAACAATTTTATATACAAGATATATAATTTCAAATTCTCATGAAAGATACATTGTAAATTAAATATGTAAACAAATGAAAACACACTATTGCACTATTTAATTTACCATTACCTTTTATGTTTCAATATTTAAATGTACAACATTGAAAAAGTTTAATATTCTCTTTGACATTGAGGTGTAGATAGGTATAAAACACTTGAATTTTTCTAACTCATTGTTGCATATGTGATTTGATATATTGTGTTATGTTTTAAAATTTTATTACAAGTGTATGACTAAAACAGTTAAAATAAATAATTAGCTGTTATAAACAATAGCAATTATAAAATATTATGGCTACAAATAAAAATGTTATAATACTTGTGCCAAATGGTCGTCGACAAAATGTTGGAGTAACTCCAAACACTACAATACTACAAGTAAGCAGTGAAAGTATAAGAAAATTATCTTTATAAATGTTATTACATTAATAACTAAATACATTTATAAATGTTATTACATTAAATAACGTATTTTCTCCAGATATTGGAAGAGGTGTGTCAGAAATATGGATATAACATAGATGATTATGATCTCAAGTAAATATTATCATAAAAATATCATTATAAGGTATAAGAATAAAATGTTTTAGTTAAATTTTTTTTTTTTTATTTTACAGACATTATAATCGTGTATTAGATCCTAATGCTATATTAAGATTTACTGGATTGGCAAATAATGCACAATTAGAAATGGTACCGTGTACGAAAGCACGTTCTATTTCCATTGTTACAATAGGTATACAGTTAGAAAATGGGGAAAGATTAATGACTGAAGTTACACCTAATACAACGTTAGCTGAAATTTTGCAGAATGTAAATTTCAATGAAGATCTTGAAAAAATTACCTTGATTTACATGCATCGTGAGGTATGAGAATACATTTTGTCCTAATAATATTATTATTTTAATATAAATATATAGTTCCTCTGAATCTGTTTTTACATTATAATAATCTTTTAATATCATTGAACGTTATTTTGTTTATAAATAGACAAAGCTGATTTGTTAAGTTAAATAAACAAATGTCAGCTTTTTTGAAATTATGGCCTGTAGCTGTACGTACAAGGACTTATTAAAATTGATTAAAATTTTGATTTAGATAAAAAGATTCCAATCAAAATTTTTTAAAGATATTACTTAAATTAATTTTTTTACTAAATATGTTTTATTAGTAAGTTATTAAGTTTTATAATTAATTAATATATAATAATTACAAAGCAAAATTGTTCATTTATAATTATTTTAATATATCAAAATCATGGTTTCTTTCACTTTATGATTTATGTTGTATAATATTAAATCTGTAATAATGTTACCACATTGTAAAGTACCAAGCTTTATTAATTATGCAATCATACATGAATAATTATGAAGTTGAAATAAAATTTAAGATTTACAAAAACCATTTTACATTATGTAATGATCTTTCAGATTTCTGGATCAGAAGCTTTAAAAAATACCACTTTAAAGTCATTAGGACTCATTAACGGTAAAGCTGTATTACGGTTAATACAAAAACGACCCCGAACCGTAGATAATGTTAATATAGTTGTAGGTAAGTTATAGGGAAAATTGGCGATAGTAAAGTTAATAAAAACTTCAATATATATGAAAGAAATTCTGAAACAGCTACAGATACTAATAAAACATTAGACTCTGCAATTTCTAAAAAGAAAATACAAAACTCAGGAGAATTAGAAATATGTTCTCAGGACAAAGAAAAAGGAGTAATAACAGAAAAGGAAAAAGAAACTAATATAGTACCATCAATTAGTACAGATAATTGTGAAATTTTGCCGTGCAAGAAACATGAAACAGATGACTTGAATAATATAGAATTCGTAAGTTATATAATGTATATTTAAATTCAAATACTTCTTTGTATGTAACATACAAAAAAATCTCTTCTTATTATAGTTAGGTGAAAGAAATGCTTTAGTATTCAATCAAGCTGCAATTCAAGGAACATTTAGAGATGAACTACCAGATGATTTTTACGATCTAACAGTTGACGATGCAAAAATATTATTAAGAGATGTTAAACGTTATAGAAAAGAACTAGAGGAAGCACCACTTTTAACAAATGTTCAACGACAATCCAATAAAGAAAAGAGAACATCAGATCAATTAAACAAATATCATTATACAATAATTCGTATACAGTTTCCAGATCAATTTGTTCTTCAAGGTTTATTTCAACCAATGGAAACTGTACAAGCAATCAAAGATTTTGTAAAATGTTATTTGAATGATGTAAATAGTGACTTCATAATCTGTAAGTAAAAATATTTTTAAAAAATATATAAAAATAATTTAATTATTTTTATTATCTCAGTGGAATAATATGAATATATTTTTATAATACAACTTCATACTTGATATTTCTAAAGATAAAGTATCATAGATTGTGTGATGCTGTAAAATTTTCCCACAAAGTGTAAATATATTTCATAAAAAAAAATTTAATCACGAGTTCAAAATTTAATTTACAGTAATTAATCAATGCAGTAATATTTAAATTTATCTCGTGATATAATAATCTAATCTTAAAATTGACTTAAATTATTCAACATATTATACTAAAAGTACGCATTTTTATTATAATTAAAAATACACATTTTTCTTATCGGATAGTTACTACGCCACCAAAACATATTTTAAACTCTAATGCTCGCTTAATTGATGAAAACTTGGTTCCTTGTGCTATTGTTCATTATTCCGGCTCATCAGCTCTTAAATTGGACGTAAAACAAAAATTTACTGATCCTAAGAAAGTTGAACTGCAAGTAGCTAATACTAGGTAAGCGATAGTTTATATTGTATTGACCCTTCGTTATTATATAAGTACTGCTTGATATGCTATATTTTTATGTTTTAGAAAATTAATGATAAACCAGGAAATGACAAGTAAAGACGAAAATGTAAATAACGATACAAGTGAATTGAATATGCAAACAAGTAACGAATCATTAAACGAAAAAAAAAGTAAAATTCCAAAGTGGTTAAATCCATCGTTTAAATAACTAATTAATTTTCGTTATTACTGTAAAATTTTTATAATATTTTGGAATGAAGTATAATGATATTTTAATATGTAGATACATAAAACGCACGCACAAATGCGCGCGTACGCGATCACACACACACACGCACACACACACACAAACACATACATCCATGTATTTCATTTAATATTGTAATTAAACATACTTTTATATAATAAAGCTTTAAATATAAACAAAAAAAAAATTAAGTATAAAATATAAATATTGTATAACAGCTTATAAAAAAATATTTAAATTGTGAGTTTATAACATTACGTGTATGTATAAAGTTACTTTCTTTTTTCAACAGTAAACGTGCTATTGATATTAAATTTCATTTTTTTTCTTTTTTCAAAGTAATAAAGACATACTTTGCATGAAACGATTAATAGGAATTTCAATCTATTAACAATCGCTAATACATTTGAGTATTAAGACATTAATATCTAGATAGAATTATTAACTTTGTAAATCTGGAGGTACAGTGGTGGGTGATTGTAATTGCAAATGCAAAAGTCGTCTACCTATTATATTTCCAGTTGGACCTGAACCGCCTGCTTCTTCTGTAATACTTTTTATCAGATTATCTTCTATAACATCAGAGCTCTTATTCGTTTCAGAATCCTCCTCTTTTTCTATTTGTGATTGTAATTCTGAATTTAACAATCGCATATATTTATCCATTTCATTTCTTTTATCTTCATCATCACCACCCAAGGATCCTTCTGAACTTCCTTCAAATTCCCCCTCATTTCCTGGAACAGCTAAATCTAATATACCTCGTAACGTACTGTCGAATATGTCTGCATCGAATTCAACTTTCCCATTGTCTTCTGAGTCGTGCATTACGCCAGCCTCTGTTGAAAGATCTCTGAAAATAAAGAAATACATAAATTACGTTTTTTGCGATGTTATCATTAAAATTGTAACAGATATAACGTACTCTAAAAATTGTACACCATCAATATCACTATTTTGATTTAAAAACATCTGCACTTTTTCTTTAAGACTTAACGATTCTTGCTCGTGTTTCTTGCTTTTAACATTTCCCCACTTTTCATTCAGAAATATTTCTAACTGCAGTGGATCTACATTTAACCAACTATCACTATCCGCAGGACTTAAAGCAGCTTCATCTTGAGCTATGTACGAAGCATAACATAAAATAATAATTAAACGCTGACAAGTCATAAGTAATATTTATTTTAAAAAAATTACCATGTAATTCAATGTCATTAGATTGTATGTTTTCCCATGCTTCTAAAATCTTTTCAGCATCGCTTTTATTAATGTCAGTAATGGAATTACACAAATTAAAGTATTTGAAGTAATAATCTTTTGCTGCATTCAAAAGTTTTACATATTCTTCGGTATCTTTTAATAAATTTCTAAAGTAGCCATTAACTTCTAAACGACTTAAATAAGTATTTAAAATATCTTCATTTGTTTTTAATTTCTCCGAATCGTTAAGTGATCTCTTTTCTTTTTTTCTACGTTCTTCGTTTGCACGAGCAATTAACATTTCCAAGCCACATGCTATTTTGATTCCAAGTACATGAGCATTATACTTTGAATAAGTTATCGGTGGTATATTCCATCCTGTTCTTGGATCTCCCGTATATCGACAATGATTTGCCATTGCATACAAACATTTAGTCATTTTTACATTAACCATAATACGCTGTTCAGGAGGAAAATATTTCATGGCACGACAAACCTATAACACATAAAAATTCATTGAAACAAACCAAACTTTAATCGTGCATAAAATTATATAACAGTATTAAAGTTTTACTTTTCTCTCGAGTGGATCAGAGTGACAAATAGTTCGAATAACTAGCGCAATCAGTCTTGGTTCTTGTTGAAGTATCGAAACTGCTTTCTCTGGTAAAAAAACTCGTGCTTTGTGACATCTTCTTTCAATTTCATTAGGGTACATATTAATTCGTTTTTTTAATATATCTTGTACTTTCTCAGAAGCTTTGAAAAGATATGGTCTCTCCTGGAGATTGTTTAACAGATCCAAAAATGTTTTGTATTTTTCACGAACAATGTACAATTCGCCATTATATACAAATACATGATTTTCACATGTTTCAGGGTTAGCCCATGGAGGCAAAGCATTTGCAGCTTCGATTAAAAGAAATTCACCGTCAGAATCTATAACTTTAGCAATTAATCCATCAAAAATCTGAGTAAGTTTAAATATCAGAAAGACCACAAACCATTCGTCACTTATGTCCTCATCAAAACGTAGACGTACATAAATGTGAGGTAATATGCTACATTCTACATCAATAAAAAGTAACAATCAATATACATTTATCATAGTAATACATGTTTAAGGTTAGAACATCTTACCTTCTACAATTGTAGAATTTTCAAGAAGTTTTTCTAACAACAACGCTTGCTTTGTTCTAGGATAAAAAATTAAATTATCATTATGCCAGATATAACCTTCAACGTACGGTGTAATTTCTTTATTAAATTTTTCAATTTCTCGTAAAAGAATTTCTTCCGTTATAGTCTCTGAAGATTTTGTGTAACAAATTTTTGGATAAAGAAAACATTCAAGCACGTCGTCTTCTTTAACTTTGGATATTTTTGTATAAGCCATTGTTTCATAAATATCTATAATATCTCAACAAAATCACTTTCAAATTGAAATAGATTTTTTAAAAAGCGAATAATTGAGAAGAAACTTTTCGTATTGGCGTTTCTATTAAAATTTATTCAACTTTCATTGTTTCATAAATTAACTCTCCGTATGTAATTATTTATATGTATTTAGTTTATTCAAATTTTTTAATTTATTTAAATATTGGTATTTCTCGATCGTCTAAAGGCGAGTACTTATGTACACGAAACAGCCAAAATATCAAGCAAGCTACAATCTTTAGAATATAAGTTACTAGGATTTGTGTGTATCATTTCAGTTAACTAACATGTTAAATATCTTACATGTAGGAATAAAATGGTTACTTACATTTGCAATAAAACACGAAATTTTTTTATTCCGTGTAATCCATGTAATATTTTTATTTTCAGCTAGGTACATTTAAAATTGTAAGAAATGTATTGCGCTTAAAAAATTATATTATTATGTTTGGAGAATTAGCGTTTCCCATTATATATTGAAATTATAAAAAAGGTTTTCATTTTACTTCAAAAAATTTCTTACTATAGAATAAATGTGTGTGTAAGTTTAGAGGAAAATTTAATAAGAATTTTAATTGCAATTCTACAGATTAATTATATTTATTGATAAAAATAATAGAATTATAGAATACTAGAAAGATAAAAACTTTACTATTATAATAATAATAATGCTAATATGTTATTTTAATTGTTAGTTACAAAAATAATAAAATATCACTAAATACTTCAAAATTTGTGTATATAAAGAATACATATGTCATATTTTCTTTAACTTGTATTTTTTATATTTTTTTTTAATGTTCTCAATGTTTACAGTTTGTATTAGTTTAATAATTACCTCAATATCAAAAAGTTAAATAATTAATTTATAGTAATGTTTATGCGCAATAGCATTGATATGTAATTATTGACTTTTGTATAGAACTGATATTACAAATAAATTTTGATATTTTACATATAATTTTTGCATATTTTTTCACTTAGTGTCCAACTTTTCAATTTCACTAAATTTTTGATATATCGTGCATGAAATAAGATTAATTTTAAAGTTTAGATTTACATATTGTTCTCCTTTTATTTAAAAATGACGTTTCTAGAAAGCCATATCTCTCTCTCTCTCTCTCTCTCTCTCTCTCTCTCTCTCTCTCTATTTGCTTTCTACATTTCTCAAAAATTTCTTAAATTGACAATGATGTAGTCCTTGAAATCTGATAAAATTTACAAATTAATGATTGGCGGAACAATAGTAGATAGTAAATAGTAGACATTTTCAAAATTTTTGTGTTCCTTGCAAAATACAATGAAAAAAAATTATTTCAAATAATCGTAATTCATGTAGTAAATATCTGGAACTTTAAATTTTTTTTATTGGGATATTTAATTGATTAAAGATTTAAATCCACTGTAAATAAACATGTTTTTTCTTGGAATTCAAGATGTTAATTTTTTGATAACAACAAAAAATTTGAATTTGTTCCTCTCGAAAAGATACAAAATTATATTGTATCGCTAGTATCACAACTTTTATCTAAAGCTACAGAAATCCAATTCAATTTAAAAATTATTATTGGTTACTATTGTATTTGTTAGAATATAATAAAAGTAAAATAGAAGAATATGTAAAAATAATATGTAAATAATATAAATAAATCAAAATGATATGATTTCTATATTGATAATCATTTATAATTGTAATTATAATAGTACTATAACGTGGATATAATGCAGAATTTAATATATGTATAACATAAAATGAAAAGTGACAAAGAAAAGTATATGAAACAAAATAATATTATTTTTACTTAATTATTTAAATATAATCTCTAAAATAACAAAATTTACTCCAATTAAAGAAACTTGTAAATAACATGTTATCGAAGCGAAAGGAAATTATGCAATAGTCCGAGGAAATTCAATAAAAAATAAAGGTAGGTGACATGTCCAGAAAAAAATTACATATCGACAAGATTTTCAACGAATAAATCGAGAATTTAATGATTAAGACTTCGAAAAAGATACGTCTTTTTAATTTATATCCAAAAATGCAGATCGATTTCGCTGCAAATTCGTTCCATTCAAATTCAAACGCTTTTACAAACATTGGAAAATTTTTTTCACAATCGAATTCACCACGAATCTAAAAATTAAACTTCAAAATGATGTTGATGAAGTTGATGTGCGATTTTTTGTCGCTATCCTATTAAACTTTGAAAAGTGTATAATAAATTCAAGATCCGAATCAAAAGATTGGTCCAACTTTGGATCTTTTTATAAGCTTTCGGGCACCTGACAAATTTCATTAAAAAGGGTATTAATGATGTAATAACATAGTCATTATAATATAAAATTGTTATTGATTGTTTTATCTATTATCATAGAAAATTCATCATACATGATATAAAATTTTTACTATTAATAAGTATTACATGATATTTAATCTCGACACAGGGTGGATATACTTGTCGATGAATCTAAGATGCGGTCAATTTGTTGCTTTGAAACAAAATTTAAATATTTTTCGGATTACATTACTTCAACGTAGATAAAATGTTTCTATATGACGTAGTACTATATCGGAGATGCAAAGAAAGAAGGACAAAAAGATTGTGGGAAGAATTCTATAGGTCAGACGTACATTCTAAACTCGACGTTTTCACTTTCACATTACCAGTATTGTTGTAAACGAGTAGTAACGAGTAATCATTAGTAATATAGCAAAGACTTAAACAGTTTTGCAAAACAGTATTTCTAATTTCACTTTGTAATTACGAAAATGATACAGTTGAGATGGATTTGGAAAATTATTTTTCGATGTACAATGCTTGTCCTGTATACTCAGTTTGAGATATTTGTGAGTAATTAAATTATACATTGTGTAGTATAAATTTTATTAAAGTGTCCTATATCTATATGTCCTATATCAAGATTTCATTTGATTCTTTGACTAATCTTAATGAAATTACAATTTTTAATTTTCGAATAATGATATACATAGTCAGCAAAGTAGTTATTAAATTAAACTAAGACAATTTGCGTATTACGTTGAAAAAAATTAAGATTTTCTGAAATTCGTAAGAACATGTATGTTTTGATCAATGAAATTATTAAAATAAATGTACTTACATTCTAAAATATTAATCAAATTTTATTATTTATTTTCACATATAGTTGAATTGATTATAAATCATGCTTTACGTATTTAAATATTTGATTACATACTGGTAATAAATATTAATTTTGATCAATTTAAATTACTGTAAACAAATTAATTAATAATGAAATAATAATGTAGCAAGAATATACAATAGAAACAAAAATACTAAAAAAATTATAAATACTACATGAATAAATAATTTATTTTCAAGTTATATCATTACATGACATTATGAAGTAGTTAAGATAAATTTAATAACAATATTAAAACACTAAAAAATTGAAACCTATTTTTAAATTTATAGTAAAACACTAGTAGTCGAAATTAGTGTTAACATTTTATTTTATATAACATATGTGCATATACATGCATGAATATGTGTCTATACATCTATTTTGTTATATCAATAACAATATATAACATATATAGAAATAAAAAATAAAAATAGGTTTATTATAGTACTCATTAGTATCTATTAGTACTACAATAAACCTTTTTTACCCAGATTACCTACTGGTAAATGTATACTATCTATATAAATCTAGTATTATTTTAAACAAAATTTGATCAAGAAATTTTGATTTTTGTATTTTCAGAATGCTGTAAACTCTATGAAGGCAAGCTTTTCATGTTTAAACCGAACTGCTGGTTTTTACGCAGATGTTAATGCTAGTTGTAAAATATATCATACTTGTGATGAATATGGAAATAAATTTACTTACCAATGTCCTGAGGAAACTGCTTTTCGACAAGATGCTTTGATATGTGATCATGCTCATCTTGTTCAATGTCAAGGAAATACTCTTACTAATACAAAAGAATATATTAAAGAAAAAGAGGGCAATAATTCTGATGCGAAAAATTCAGTACATAAGAATCGATCCTTTTCTCATTCCTTTCACGTGACACAACCAAGAAAAATGAATGATGGAGAAAGACATGGATCTGTCTTTAATGCAACACATCTTTTTATGGATCTTAATAAGACAAAACCCACTGAAAAGGATATAAGAAGTTCATTTTATTCATTTAATTATATTACTTCTACTACAAGTATTCCTATTAATTATTCTATAAATACTAGAATACAATCTACGCACAATGAAAATGCATTAAGAAAAAATGAAAATTATTCTATTCAAAGTCAAAACTTTCATGAAAAAAATAAACTTAATGAAAAGCCAAGATCAAATCAAAAAGATTATTTATATCAAAAAATAAATGATGCTTCGTACAAAACTCAAGAGAATAATATAAACTATCAAGCTACAAAGAATCCTATTGATCTTTTAAAATTGCCATCTATAAATTATAGAAATTATCCGTATTTAGAAACACTGAAATCTATACAAAAAAATACAAAAATTCCTTCTACTACAGCCCGTAGTATAACAGCAAGTATATCTATTACAGAATTACCTGTATATGCTTTAACATTATCATTAAAACCTTTAATACCAAGTGAACTAGAATATGATCCTTACTATCCAAAATTTTCAACGACAACAGAATCTTATTATACTTCTACACACAATCTGAAAGAATGGCCTCGCGTTAGAAATTCCAGTCAAATACTACAGGCAACTATTCATCTTAAACTTCCATCAGTTTTACCAGATTTAAATTCTTTAGATGACATTGTCGATCGTAGAAAGTTACTGTACATTCCACGAATTAAATTTAATTAATATAATTATCATCTTAGTATTAGATATATAAATTTTACAAGATTATTCACTTTACAAAATCAGTTACATGTAAGAATATTAATATACTCAAAAATATATTAAAAATAATTTATAACACGAAAAAATGAAGTTAACATTTAATTATAAATATTTTGTTACAAGTTTAACAATGCAATAAAATGAAAGCAAGATAAATATTTAATTAAATTATATTGTATATATAGATAGCATATTTAATTGTAAAGAATAACATTTTAAAAATATTCAATAAAACTTTAGCTTAAAAAATGTATTAATATTATTTAATACCACAATGCACATCTTATAATATTTTTTTACAACGTTAAAAATATGAAGATTTTTAAAATGTATAATAAAATATAACGAAGTATATGACTTGGAATTGGCAATAATATTGGTAAAAAACATAATAATAATAACAACAATAGAAAAAACATAAAACACAAAATAATGAGAAACAAAATGTCACATAAGAAAATATTACCTCTGCTACCTACTTTTCATTCAAAGATTGTGAATTATGTGATATATTTGTGAAGAGATACTATCATAGAGGCTGTTCAAATTGGAATCGTTTATTTATTAAATACGTGGAATAATTATATCGGACAAAGGATATTATAAAATAAATTAATAATAAAGTGTTTGTTTAAACAAAATTTTCTAAATTGTATTCGTAGTATAAAAAAAAAAAACTGAATAATTATCTAGAAAATAGGTCTTCTCACCGATTTCAATGATCTTGAAATCCGTTGTAGTGATCATTATTGTGAACAATTTTTGCCTATATACATATGTATGTTACTGCCGATTGCCGGGAAACTATGTTCAAGGAAACATTTTCTTCAAAAGTTCCCGGCTCCATCGTTCTATTTATCTCTACATAAACAATAGCTAAATTAGTGCGGCATTGTAATAGAACATCACGGAGAGCGATGATATTAGAGGAAAAAGGAGAGTTTCAATGAACGATTACAGATATGACAAAGCCAACTCAATGCTCCCGAATCGAAGGTCTCGACCGCGTTAGGCTTTACCGGAAGAAACAAACATTTTTGTTTTTAGCTGCACTATTATACATCGCTCTGCTCAAAGCTCTTCTCGCCATATTGGATTACGTTGTTTGATCTGGTCGCGGTGCTCATCTTGTCGTTTTGTTATAATCGACGAACGATCAAATTCGACTATTCGAATGTACCTATCATAGAGACCAGGAACTGTTAAGTAGAATGAATAGAAGGGATTATTATAATTACTACTTTTCAAAATAAAAAAAAGAAAAAAGAAATATCTCTTATCACAAAAATGTTGCATATTATTTGTACAATAATAATCTTTTCTTCACTCTATGAACTTTTATACTTAAAGTCATCAACAACAGATACGGATACGGATGTGGGATGTTTCATTCCTCTTAAAGAAAAATTGGAGAAAAATTATTTCTTATTTTAAGCCAAATTATTTATTCAAATAAATAATATTATACAATAAAACAAATAATGACTGTAATAAGTACGAATAAAGATAATTAAAATAATTCTAAATAATCGGAGTTTTCAGAAGTGTCGAAATACAGAACCGAATTCATAACATATGACTATCGAATAAACTGAAACTCTAAACAATATAACATATTGTCATAAGATTTTAAAATTTCATTTCGAAAGTATTTTGAATATCTGAGTAAAACAGTTTTGTCAGGAAGTTCTCTTATTATAAGTTATTGACATGCGTATGCGAGAACTTCCGGTCTTTTGAAAGTCTACAGAGAATAAGAAACACTAATCTACTACAAATAAGTTACAAATTACGCGGATAAATTCAAGTAAGATAATATTATTATAAAATTCAAACTAATGTAAATTCTCTTATTAGTAAAGTTTGTGGATGCAACACGTAAAATATTCAGGAAATATACATATAAAATTTATATTCATTGTATAAATATAGAAATATGCATAAAAATTATGCTTACTTACAAAAATATGTTTATAGAAAAATGATAAGTTGAATTTGAAAAATTGTTCCATAATTTTATGTCGAAATATATTAAAATATAACTTAAAAGAAAACTTTTTACGTATGTTAGGGTACGCAAGTCCCGCTTTTAATTAGAATTTAGTGGTAAATTCCTTGATTTTTGTATCGAAAATGCTTTTAAAATATAGAATTAACAGTTGTAATCGTGTTGATATATAAATTTTACGTGAAAATTTGTTTATGAACGAGAAATAGACGTGCAAGTTGCAAACGGGACGCGCAGGTTATGTTTACTACGTGGCCGCGCATTCAAATCGATCTTAAGAATGCGCGGAATCAGCGGAATCTCCCTTTATTTAAGCCAGAGACACTGGTGTAACTTTTAATGCGAAAGTGCAAAAAATATATACGTCAAAAAATATTAATGAACGTGTAGTAAAACTATGGCGGATAGTGACATTCTTTGATTTTCGTGATATTTCTTTCGAAAATATATTCCTAATCATCCTAAATCTAACCTAAAAACACAACTTTATAATTATCATAATTTAAAATATGTTAAGTATTGCAACTTAAAGGTAATGATGTATAATTAATTTATTTGAAAATGTATAAACAATAAAAATAGTAAATAACAATTGGTGAAAAGTATATAAATTTACTGTTAAACATAATTCATAAATAAATACATACGTAGCATAATACAAACATCTACAAGTATTACATATAGTCACGATTGCAAGTATTATATATAGTCCTAAAATAAAATTAAATGAATTTGATATATTGTAACAAAAAGCATGTGGATAATATTCGTATCAATGTGAAACTTAATTTTATATATTTCATTTGTGAATATATAAAAAAGAAAGAGGATCTTCACTGATACAATAGGACATCACACATAATTCAAGTAGCCTGATATTTCATATTATCAATATCTGTATCAGTTACTTAAAGACATCATAGTATATAATCATAGTTAATTATAGGTACTTCAAATTTTAAATTCTAAATGCATAATTTGGATTCTATTTCAATATTGAATGTATGTATTCAGTATTCTATCCTTAATATTTAATATTTAATAAAATATTTAATGAGATTTTCTAAGTCAATATCAAATGTTAGTATTTAATGAAAACTCGGTACTATATTTTTTATTGCCGATGTCTTAAACCTATCTTAAACAATTCATCGGTTTCCATATGGTTGCAGAAATAAAATGTATCATGCATCATTATAATAGAATAGAATGCATCGTTTACTATTATGAATTAAATAACATACTAAATAATTATATACAAACATTACAGTCAAATAATTAACACTTAAACTAAAATCCAAAAGAAAGAAAAACAAAGTAACTGCCATAGGAATGAAGATGTAATACTTTAGTTCAATATGAAATGCCACTTTTTGAAACATGAAGTAGTAGATATAAAAATCAAAAGCACATTGTAGTTATAGTATTTTAAACATACACTAGTAATATTTTAACTAAAGTAAAGATAAAATCATAAAACGCAATATGAAATAAATACTAGCAATTAAATCAATGCAAAACTTTAGACATTATCATAGAACATGATTAAAAATTAAATGTCAAATGAAAGTATGAATTTATTGAATTTAAATAATCATTAGAATACTATTAAGTAACTGTGTAATTAGTAACGTAAATGATTGAAAATTAAATATAAAATCCTAACTTAAAAATATAACTTATATTATGTGAATATAAGAATATATTATATAAGTTACATCATACTTGTAATGTAGAATATAACTATAATATAATATAACTGAATATAAACAATAATATATATAATATAACTATAATATAATATACGAGAATATATAAGAACAGTAATTAATATAGTTTATGTATTTATATATTTAATGTAAATATAATCCCAACTTATAACATAGATATTCAAATCAGAATTGTTCTCATCTAAATGTGCCATACATTCTATATTATTAATAATGAAATTAAAAAAAAATCATGATTTCATTATATCATCCAAAAAAGAAAAATTTAATACTTCTTTCAGTAATTATTCTAAATATATTTATTCTATATACTAGAATATACTAGCATATCATGCTGCATATAATATTTAATCATATGTATATCAGTCTATATACTATTTATATATTCTATACAGTATAATTCTTTGAAATTTTCATTCTGACAACTTGAATAAATGCATTTCCTTAGTTGCCTGTCAGAGCAGTTACATTGCTGGAGGTCATGAAGAAGCTTTTTATCTCTGGACTAACTTGGCTATGTGGATATGCAACGGATGTGGATGCAGGATCCTCCGCTGCATGCTGTTGGCTCGATTGTGGATGAGTGTGGATTTTTTAACTTCTGCAAAATTGGTGAGTGACATATTAATCAATGTATTTATGTGAAATTTAGTATTTATATACTAATAGTAAACAGAATCTATGAGATTCTTACCTATGTAATTTACAATAGGTAGATATCTAACAAATTAACGTCTGATTATCTATAAAAACTTTTCATTTACATCAAGCAAAATGTTCGAAGTTGATCAAATAGTGAATGTACTAGAAATACAATCCATTGCAGTGTTGCTAAATGGATTACAGTGTTGTTAAATTTTCAATACCGAAACGTGAAGTTAGTAACTAATACAAAGTTCTCTGTCCATTATGAAATTATAATTTATAAGGTTTTCTTATATATATATAGTAAATATGCAATATGTATAATTTTTATATGTAATAAATTAAAATTTTTTAATTACTAATATATGATTTTAGGTATAATTGATTGATTTATACTTTATAAAACATTCTTAAAAACAATTTTCAACTATTTTAAATTATTATTAATATTAAAATATAAAAATTATTGTATTTCATCATTTACTTTTATTTTATTACATATTCAAATTTATGTTAAATTTTTAACCATTTTATTACAATTATGCAGTATTATGCATTGAATATTACAAATAATATAAATTCATTCTATCATTCATTATTTAAAAATTACACTCAAATCTATCATTCATTACTTAAAAATTACACTCACTAATTAAAATATTATTTGAAACTTTTCTATAAACTACTTTTACCTAGCAATATTATAATAATAACAAAACATTGTTATTTATTTAACATAAATTATATAATTTAATGAAAAATAGAAATATATATACAGAATACATCCTTATCTTATATATCTTTATCTCGCAAAATCGACTAGAGGAATGTTTTTGATCGACTTAGATGATGTTCAAGTGAAGATTTTAAAGTCAAGTGAAATAGAACTTTAAAATATTTTTCTTCGTGATATTTGTTGAGACAAACTCGAGTCACGTATGATATCATTTATTGCTGAAAAAAAATCTAAAATTACGTATAAATTAGTTAACTAAGTCTAAATCTTAATTAAGTCTGATAGCTATAGTATTTGTAATAAAATGACACATAATAAACCGAGATCCGGATTCCTGAAGTTGAGATTCACACGCGAAATAAAGACCACTAATTGTTGACTACTGTACAATTTCACGGAATTTTATTAGAGCAAGATAAAACTTTCCATTTGATAACTTCTTGATATAAAAATGTTGCGTGGGCTCTTTTGGTCGTGCTTAAAATAAATGAAACGTATATAGTTTGGAAACATATTGTGAAACTTGAAACAAAGACACATGGAAAGATAGGGTCCTAAAGTGTCCAAAAGATGTCAGGCAACAATTTAAACAAGTGCCATAACATAACATAATGCCACATAACAAGAAACAAAAGGTTATAACCTTGACATGTACGTGAGCTAATAGCTGATCAAAATAAGAAAGAGGAATATAGGAATTCAAATTTAGATAATTGGAAGGTTCAGTTATATTTAAACGAAAAATTTAATTCAGTGCAACAAAATATGGATTTTGCCGTACACGAACAGAATTCCTGCACAAGTCAAAGTAATATAATCAGAGTAGAAAATCATGGAAATTATGAAGTCATAGATAACAATTCTGACAATTGGAATAAGGAAATAAGTCAAAATGATATTCCAACTACTTCATGTGGTAATTTGAAAAAAAAAATTTATTTTGAAGTTATTGTTAAATTAAATAAGATTATACGACTAGTTTTTAAAAATAGTTATTTACATCAAATTTTTAAGATATTTTTATCAATTTTGTACAGCAACATCTCAACGACATAAAAAAAATTCATGTAATCAAAAAGAATTGCAAAATAAAATGTTGGAAGAAGCTTTATTACATAGAGTGGCCATAAGAAAAGCTGCAGAATTAGAACTAAAACGTAAAATCTTGGAATTAGAAAGATTACAGTGGGAGTTTCAGAGAGATAAACATCAAAGTGATGTCCGTTGGGGTTATGATGTTCGTGCGATGCACTATCGGGAAGAAAAAATAAAACGTTTGAAGGAGCATTGATCTAATTTTCTAATATCTAATTTTAAACAATAAATTTTACCTGGCCATGAATAATATTATTGCATATTTACTAATGATAATACTATTTTTACTTTATTTGTCATGAATAATATTATTGCATGTTTACGTAATATTTACATACATACTTACATAAGATTGTCCTTATTATTAGTGAAATATGACTAGAAAGAGAGAAGAGAAAATTATTATCCATTTTAAAATGACTTTGTGAATATTTGTAAAAAGAAGCATATTGTATACTTTTTTGCATATAATATTTTTAAACGAATTATATGATATGTATTTGAGAAATGTATTTGAGTCTAATTATTTGGATTTCCTAATTTAATTTTTAATTACTTATATTATTACAATTATATATGTATAACTTGTCTTTTCCTCTGATGCACTAAAAAAATTAAATTATAAATTTACGATGTTATATAATTTCCATTTTCCACTTGCTTAAATATAACATTGTAACTTTATTACAACATTTAAAAGATTTATTACAACTTTTAAAAGATTTGAAACAAAATTTTTTTTATCGATTTTATTGTGAACTTTTTTATTATCAAACATAAAAGTATATTTTTAATAAAATAGAAGCATTGATTTTTTATTTATGAAATTAGACATACTTGTTTTGTGTATAATGTTCTTAATATTGTATAAGATCTAATAGAAGGCAATCGGTTGAATTTATAGACTGATCATTTCTTTACCTATTTCGATGATTTTTGAATATGTTGTGGTGGTTGACATTTTGAATAGTTTTTTTCTCTAATGGGGGATGTCGGACTTTGTTGAAGGAAAGAGTTATTGAGATTGTCGATTTCTATAATTGATTTCTAAATGGTATTTAGGAATCGTCGAAATTGGTGGAGTGATTAATCTACAAGTTCACTGGCAATTAAAAAGAGATAATTAGAAAATAGAAAATAGAATTGAGCAATATTTCGAATTCGTGAAATCTTAATACATATATCATTAAGTCATTCGTATCATTTTTATTAACAATAAATAAATTTCGGTCGTTACAAATACAACTCAGTGAATTGGTCTTGACAAATAATAATAATTTTACTATGAAACAAAAAATATATGTACGATATCGTTTAAAAAGATAAATTTGGCCTCAAAAAACTTCGAAACGGACGGTTTGCAAAAAATAATTTACAGCACGCGATATTACCCTTTATTCCGAACAATATTCATAAGAATACATAGAAACATCTTTTTGATAAGTCAAATCTTTTATAAAATCGATTTTGCGGGATAAAGGTAATTCATTCAGACTGTGAATTTATACATTTGTAAATAAAAAAACGTCTATCAAATTATTTATAAAAAAATCATATTTTAATCAATTTTTACTAGTATAATTTTAAATAAATATAAATAAATTAAATTTTAAGTAAATATAAATAATCAAATGTGTAATAAATTTTTCGTCCCAATTTCCATCTGTTTGAAGTCGTCGGACGAAGTATCACCAGGTTCAGTTCAATAAACAATTCTCGATGCAAATGTGGCAACACTCTCTATATTTTTTAATGTTAATTTCTATCGCTAGTAGCGCTGCGATGTAAAACCTACTTGAATCGGTATGACAAAATATGACACGAAATCGTGGTGTATTCATATATGTATGTCGTATGTGTCATTGTCGTATGGCAAACTCAACGTCGTTGCTCAATTCTCAAATTGCAAGCAAAAAAAATTCAATTTTGTTGATGAAATGACTATCAAAATTATCATATTTTTATTTAAAAAAAAGTGGTATAACTGTTGCATAACGGTTAGTCGTAACACCACGTAATTGTATTATAGTCACAATCGTTAACATATTTGTATAACAATGGTAACATAAGCAGCAACAAACTGGACACACACTCGTCTCTATCTACCGTCTAAAAAGAAGAACAATTTAGTAAAAAAATAGAAAAAAATGTACACGGATGAGATATGCGAGATTGTAGGGGTACAAAAAGTCAATTGCATTTACAACAACTGTAAAAGAAAACCGAGTTTACGTTTTTCTATCTAATGTGTTCAAAAATTTCAAACGATAATTGCTAGAGTTACGATTGTCACATTTTTGTGACAAATATCATCGTTTTGGTTAATTGTATTTATTTTTCCGTGAAATACCGAGAAAATTACTATTCTACTTACATGATATTGTGATGACGCATATCTTTTTTAACAAAAATCAATCCTGCTTCGACGCGAGTTCAGTTGCTATGTTAATTTTAGCGAAGGTGGGAAAATGCAGTTACCGAGGAATCAGTCTTTTCAAAATCGAAAATCCAAAATCCGGTTTGTACGAAAAGGTATATACTGGTGTTAAGAACACAGCATAAAATGTTGTGTGTCCTGTATCCCTGGCGTAGGATTCGCAAGTTGCAAGGGTGGCTTTTCTTGTTTGTATCGATCGACGCCTGTGCAGTGAGCGACGGGGACTTGACCACCGACCATAGCCCAGGAGAAGCAATCATCGTTCGATCCTCTCTACTTTCGAACCTGTTTCTACAATTGTGAATTTTCATCTTGTGAATGTTCATCCATGTTCGTGTGATTCTCAGTGTTGATCTCTGTTTTAAAGAATTCGATTGGAAGAACAAACGGTGAAGAGCGAGAAGGTATTTAAAAATACCAAATAGTGAAAATGTTGACAATAGTCAAAACAATATTTAGACAAGCAAGGTAACTACAAAACTCCTTTAAACGGACACTTTTATATTATCGAAGGATAAATACAAGTGTGAAGTTTGCATTATAAAAGTAATGACAAATCGTTATCGTACAATTTGTCATCTGTTAATCGAAAACTGAAAATTACAAGAACGTGACAGATCATATACACACTTCCTATTTCCTATAGTCTGTAGGAAAGTAATTTTAAGGTTCACTATGTCAATCAATCAATCAATCAGTCAGTCAATCTTGTATTACTAAAAACTTTGGTTTTTTAAGCTATTTTTAAAAACTTGGACTCGATAGGGATAGATTAGAAAATTTGGATGAAATTACATTGAAAACAGAAAAGAGAGAAAACTGTGATTTAAAAAATTACTACCGAGTAAAACTATTATTTATCAAATATCAATTACTTTGTTTTATTATATTTATGTTAAATATACTGCAGTATATTAGTATTCTATTTTATGCTCTCGCAAAAAAAAGTAATAATGATACAATAAAATAATTTATCTACATTTTTGTATGATAATTAAATGGATATTTAATTGGCGTAACGGGCGAAACCAATTTTTCATTTTTCAAAAGTACGACACTTTAGAAACGTGGATAGGAAGATCATCCTTGTACAAAACGTATAATTTCAAACGCATTTTTCTTGAAACCATGTTTTCCGATACCACAATCATGCCAAGATATATCTTTAATTTTTACATTTCAAGGACAGAAGAAAATTCGGAAAAATTGGAATTTTATACTCAAGATGCCGCCACTTTTTTCAATTTTCAATTTTCAATGTTTTTCTTTTTTTTCAAAAGTCCGTTCTTTTTACCCGCCGTGGTCACATTTACATTAATTAGAAATCAATAGGACTTTTTTGTTTCTGATAAATAGAGCGGCTCGAACCATATCAATATACTTTTTTTTCGCAGAAATTTACGTGTACCGTGTCAGCCAATTCCAATTATTTCTCAGCAAAAAATCATTTGCGGTCATTCGTCAAAAAACAAATAAATATGTAACAACAAAGCTTATGTTAATTTCATTTATTGCATTTTTGTAAAAAGTTTGCAAAGAAGTATTAAAAAGAAGCACGCGTCACACCCTTTCGAGTTAATAAAACTTTTGAATCTATTACTGTAACGTATAACATGAACTTGAAATATAGTCGTATAAATAATATGATGATTATTTTAACCAGTAATTATTTTAATTAGTCCTCGATTTCGAAAGAATTATTATACAATGTCAAAAGTTGTATCTACGTTATTTGGAAATTAGTCAAAAATTTCTTCTTTCAAATATCATATTCAATGTTGATTCAATGTTATGATTATTATTGTCAATATAATTACGTAATATGTATCAATCTTATTAACTTGTAATCATTCTTTGTGATAATTTTAATGAACAAGTTCTTTTCTAAATGGTAATTAGATATACATACAATGTTGTAGGAATTTTGGCATAAAAGATTGTTTAATTAAAGATGAAAATAAGAATTTATTTACGGTGATTTGGAAGATTAAGATTAACACTATATTCTCGCCACGTTTACACGCTGAACTCGCTATGTTCTCTTTATATACTCGCTACTCACTCACCGATTCTCACTTACTAAAGGCTCGAACATGCATGCACACAAAAACAACCATACCCTTAATATTTCTAGGTAGTGCTAGACCTGGAAGGGGTCTACATTCTAACTAAACATTCCCAGGTCCCAGGTCCCAGGTCTAATTTTCTCCATGTTCTTCTGCTACACAGATGACACTCAGGCAAAGGTTGTTGGGCACTGGAGAAAGTTCTGGGCCCTTTCCCAGAATTCCCAATCCCACAATATAATTCAATACAATACAATATGTACTACATGGTTACTACTATCACTACATAGTATTATATATATAAAGTATAATGTACAGTAAAGAGCATAATTGAAATGGCAATGATGATGGAAAATTGTCGATAATTTAAACTGATATAACTTTGTAAAAACAAATTATGTAACGATCCACTTGGAATTATCTTAAAGCGTTATTCTCTATTTGACAGTTATGAGTTTGTTTCTTCCGAATATCATTTTTCATGATATAGCTAGTGGGAAATTGAGGCTACTTTTTTCTCGAAAAATTCAAACATTAACAAACTTTTTTCATAACCAGATCCACCATCATTTTGATGAATTTTCTTTTCCAACGAACCTTTAGAATTTGCTATACGATTTTTTTTTTTTTTTTTCAGAATTTTGTTGAACTTTGAATATTAGGATTGAATGACAAAAATTCAGAACGTCCTAAAATATCATTATTTAATTCAAATTTTGACTTATGAAATTTCAATTCAAATGACTTTTTATAATTTTCAAGAAAAAAGTATCCTCGCTCTCTCATTCGTTACATGATGCAAAACCATTTCCGACAAAATCGAACTCGAGACTGTGAAAACTTTAAAATAAAACCAACTGGGTCGTTGCATAATTTTTTTTTTTTTTTTTTTAGAAAATTATAACAGTTTTCGAAGTATCGAAAATTTTTCACCGTTATTGACTCAGTTACGCTCTTCATTAATAATTATATCAACAATAATTATATGTTAAGGAGAATATAATTATGTAGCAGTAATGTGTATATTTTCTTTTTCAGAATTTTTGATTCACGATAAAACAATATGGCATAAATCATGGGAATATCACAATATTCTAATGAGTTGATTGACAATTGAAAGGTAATAAATTATCTTTATTAAATTTATCGAAGGTAATAAATGATCCGACTAATTGATTATCCCCGTGCACTAATGAATTTGAATTACGAGAAAATTATTCAGCATTATTCAGAAATAGAAATGTAAAATAATAAAAACAAATACGTGCAAAAGCGGGTGTCTATCGTCTTGTGTAAAACAAGTGATGATTGATGTACTTGCAATAAGAGGTACTTGTCTACTCGTTTATTGAGTTTCTGCGAGTTAAGCCCACGAGCTGCAAGCAAGTTTTGATCAAATTTCCAATGATTTGATTGCTACTCAAATCTAATAATTTGAAAGAATCTGAAATTAACTCGCTTGTATCGTGTATACGATACAATATTATTGCGATAATTTCGCGCAAAAAAATTATACCAATAAACTCTTGAAAATTGTAGACTCAATGTCAAATTTTGTAGAAATAGTGTATCTCTTGAGCAATGGAGATATATGTACATATGTATACTTGTCGACGAAATTTTAAGAGCTTTGATTTCCTTCGACAAAGGATTTTATTGAATTGGATCGAGATTAACTGATCGAGATTAACAAAAAGAAAAAGAAAAAAAGAGAAAAAAGAAAAAATAGCGATCAATTATGAGGAATTGTCACGTTGAATTAAATATGACGATAAATAACAAATACAGTAATATACAGTTTTTCATATTTTATGAAAAAAGCTCAAACAGTTGAAAAAAATATAAAAGGATACGAAAATGTCGGAAAGCAAAGCAAAACCGGCATCACCGCTACCACCGGCCGCTTCTATACAATGCTGTAATAGCTTAACAGATACAGTCCAGTGTCCAGCGCTTCAAGTGACATCACGAATGTTACGATCGCCGAGCCACGAGAGCGTTACAACCGATCTCTCTCTGTTTAGTGTCTCTTCTATAGCAAGTGAACTGCGAGGGGTTAACAGACTCGCTAATTTTAAATCTTATACCGATATACACCTTGCTGGTCGTGGCCCGTCGCCGAAACCTGACTCTCGTCAGGTTCAAACTAACAGGTTTGTCTTATTTCATTATACGGACCATTATACGAGCCTACCGAAAGTATCGACTTGGGGTCCCTTTGGAAAAATGACTCGAACGAAAGATACGAACATTCTTGCTAACACTTACTTTTATTAATCGTTATGCCATATACCTCGAAATTGAGCTTTCCGGATGTAAATCGTGTCCTTTTGGAATAAATATTCATCCGGTTAATTAAGAACCTAATCCAAACCTTGAATTAGAACCTAAGAAAATGTGGCATTTTGCACAATTTCTGCTAATTTTAACATTAATCTGCTAGCTTTTTCAATTGTTCACTACAAACTCACTAATGGCGAATTGAAAATTTTGGCGTTGCGATTTGCAACGAAGTTTTCTTTTTGTCGTTTGTCATTTTTATAGTATCTTTTCTATCTTACGTAATTGTACGTAGTCCCAATTGATAAATTTTGATAAATGCCATTAACAAAATTGCTATAATAAATATAATGATGTGCAAATACTTTTTGTAATTAGTGTACATTAATTACAACGAATAGTGCGTGTCCATTATTCCAAATAAATTTGCATAGTTATGTAAACCTGATCTGAATCAATCGTTTTTTAAAATTCTCTTGAATTATATATTAGTTTTACTGATTATAATATTATATAATATTATTTTTGTTTAGATTAAAAATTTGTTGAAATATTCGTTTAATTTATGGAAACGTCAAGATTACATAACTTTGATTTGTATGTAGTATTGTTTACAACAAATATAATGAAAATCTTTGTACCAGTAATTTTGTAAAATGTCCACCAGTGTAATCTGTAAGAATACTTAAATTTTATAACTATTAGTTTATTTTACTTGATCATTACGCTCATTCTTTCTTCTTATGCATTAATGCGTATTCTTGTCGAACTCTAAATGGTTGTCTGAGTGAATATAATTTCATTTATACAATTTTTTTTATAGTGTATCATAATATGTATCATCAAATTTTGTTGATTATTCTCTTCCAGTATCTTTGATACTTTTGAAACTACTTTTGTTGGCACGTTTAGGACTTTATTTGAAAGCACCTGCTATCTAAAGTATTTACTATTGTGTATTAACATATTGTAATGTATTATTCTCAGCAGTTTGGATTGTATTACTTCAATTCTTTTTAGATTTAGTAGTTTTAGTAATAATAGTCCAATCAGTAATAATAGTCCATCATTGTCACGTACAAAATGAGTTATCGAAAATAACTCGTTATTTTGTAATTAATCTTAATTTGTAACTTGTAAACACATTGTAGAAACGATGTAGTTATTTTTAATACGTTTTTACGTTCGGTTTTCAGGCTAAAAGTCAATTGAATTGATCGAGAATGCAATACTAAAGAAAATACAAATTTTCTTCATTGGAAAATTTAAGACAAAAGTATGAAAGAAGAATAGAAATTTTGCTTTTCATTAAATTTAATATTTTTTCTCTAAATTATAAATTATACGTTTGGCATGAAATTCTTTTGTAACTATTCACTATTCTATATCTTTTATTGTTTCCTCCTTAAGAGGTATAATAATAGCGTTCTTCGCACTTAATCCTTTTATCAATTTTCTATAGCCTTTCGGGGCACTGGTTCTGATTCTTGCCTAGTTATTTTTGGAATTTTCAATAGTGTGTGGTCTGGTAGCTGGTACAGTAATTCGATTAACATGTTACATACTTTATAAGTTTCATGATAGTTAATCATGATAGTTAATTATATAAATAATACACAGTATCCCGCAAATCGTGAACAACCAATTAAGGGATAATTCTACACGCGAAAAAGAAAAGATAAAATTTTTTCATTTGAAACTTGATTTTCGAGAAGCAATGAATAATAAACGTTACTAACATTTTAACATTACAAAAATGTGGACTAAATAATGAAAATACCCATCTAAAAATTTTAACGTAATTTTTAACAGAGAATATTTCAACAAGTTTATATTTTTTTTTATACAAAAAATTTTTGTTTAAAACATTATATTTGCATTCTGAAAATTTATTTTATTTGCTTATTGCTTAACTGTTGTATTTCACCAACTACACTATTATAAAAATACCAAATGATTTACTCACGACAATTATTAATTTCCAGATTTTAAGTTGTAATATCTTAAATTGTCTCGAATAGTTTGTCACATATGTAATTTGAGATTTTGAGTCTTACCAGATTTGACTATCAGAGAAAATCCAAAATTATTTATATACCTTTACCTTCTGTAAATTAATTTTAATAAACAAGTTGTTGCACGGTACACGTCGATATACGTGATATCATTTAATTTCTGCAGCGTTTACGAAACATTGAAATATCTTTTCCAAAAGGACCTTTAAATGATTGTACTGCAATATCCGGTTGTGAAAATTACAAATTTTTTAATTATTACATTAGATTATATGATTTTAGAATAAAAACAGAAATGTTAGATGTTTTTCACGACTTTCAGACAATTATTGCGTGACTTTCCAAGTTTATTCTTTCGTTAGGCAAAATATATATATAATATGTAACTATGTTTAATTCGTTTCATTATTCTTTATAAATTTTGTATGTAAAATAATTTGACAAGTTTCTTACGTAATTATATTCTACACCTTTTAACACCACTGTATTAGTGTCAAATTGGTAATATAAATATAGTATGATAGATAGGGTGTATAGTATAACACAACATGAACTTAGAGGTTGAGCCTGTAGTACATTAGAACTCAACGTCGTTATACTCTGGCACTTGAGAAAATACTAAATCTTTGAGACCATAATAATTCAATAACGGGAGCAGAGAAAAGCCTGTAGATTGAACAGATCCCAAAGTCTAATAGTATAATACGTAAGAACAAGAGAAATATTATTAAAAAAAATAGCACATGTGAAATTTCACTCGTCACTCGATCTGCAAAAAAATAATTTACACCACACGTGGTAAGATGTCACAACTAGGCCACTCGAGAAGGATTTGGACCAGAATTTTAACATGTATTTTTAATGCCCTGGCAAACGGTTGCAAGATTCGAGGATTACTTCGATACTAATTTCGGAGCTTTTGTGAAGAAGACACCGAACAACCGAAATAAAGCGTCTTAGAGCTAAAAGAATCTATTCCTAAGAGAGAACGCTCTTTTATTTTATCAAATATTTATTTCGTATCAAGTTAGAAGTAAAATTACGCCGTGCGCAGTGTCTAGCGTGTTAGCATCTACTTACGTAACTTTTGACTTTTTTACTCGATATTTTGTATTTGTATGTTTGTTAGTGCGGTGTATAATTTTTGGGCTCGAGACTTTTGCGAAACAGCACATATTTAGCCACACGAGTCGTTCGAGCGAGCAGCGGGGCGATTCACGAGACAATTCGTGCAAATCGGAATGCATTCGGTCGGCATGACGATTCGCAAAACCGACCGCGAGATCGGAATGTATGTTATATGTTAAAAGGCATTCGAACGATCATTGTAAGAGTCGATTACGCTCTAGGGGTAGTTCGGCATCAGGGAGTCTTCACGAAACTATGAAACAGCTGAAACGAGAAAGTACGACAACGTGGATATTGAACGGACAGGTGCTGGATGTACATGGGTCGACATTAGACACGGACAAATGATATTCTGCGTAACATTATGCGACAATATGTGGGAACGTGCTCGCTAATGAAAACGAACAGCGATGCGAGCTCACGTGGAGTTTATCCGTCAATTCAAGAAGCTACTCCTATTCTGGAACTTTGGCTAAGCCTCTTCGGGAACGCCAAACCAAGTCAAAGCATGAGCGATTTCTGTTTCGAAACGCTGACAAAGCTACGGGCAAGATTAAAGATTTTCGAATATCTGGAAGACATGATCGTTGGAAACTGATTGAAGATCAAGCGATCGAGTGGATAATTGGAACGCGAATCGATACCGCAACGTAAATAAATTATAAATACTCGTGAGAGGGATAGAGTCGATACCCTCGGCAACTCTAATAAAGGGACCGATATTGACGCGATCAGTATTCGCCGATGGCCACTTCCGAACCATCAAGGACAAAGATGCGGAAAGATTCGCAAAGTGCGTTTCACGAGCAGCGTGTTTCAATTGCGCAAAGTCACAAAACACCTGCGCGATCTGTGGACGGAGAAGTCCTTTCGAGGAGTTAAGACAAATGCCAAAACTCAATGACAGTGCCTGGTGTTGCAGACTGCATAACTGACGACAATACGCTGTGAGGATACTGCAAGACGACATGAACCGCAGACACTGTAATTATGGAAAGAGGCTCACTTAACGCAAGACAGTGTGTGGAATATGACAGAAAGATGAGAACGGCTCGTAACGAGGATGTCTCGTTTTCATTGGAAACTCAGCCCTTGTGATGCGACGGAAGTTGCTACAGCTCAAAGTGAGATGCAAGCACTATGTTCCTGACAGGCGAATCTCGTGTCGCCTCGCGTCCATTGAAATAGCGTAACTTTGTTTTGTAGTTAAAGTATAAAGTTTTTTCGTAAAACTAAATATAACCATCCTGTATAATGTCGTGTATGTATATTTATATATATTACATTATATATTGTACAAACCGTTTGAAATAAAACGCAATGAGTCTTTTTGATACTAAACATGTAAACTTTTGTTTTAATAAAAATAAAAATCTTTTCAAATATGAATACATGTATGAAGATTTTCGCGGATGACTATATATCTACTCTTGTGAAAATAGCTTAAAACACTTGGATCTCGAAAGAAAAGAAATTGCATATTATTATTATTATTATTATTATTATTATTATTATTATTATTATTATTATTATTATTATTATTACTATTACTATCCGATTAATCGAGATAAAACGTAGCAATTTGAAAAAAAGCTTAATCCAGAATGTATATTTAAGCAACTGATATTTTTTTTCATTTCTTTAGGCCAGCAGATATACCAGAAATTCTTTGGTTTGAGGAGGAAAACGAATTAATTCGTAGTTGCGGGGTACTTTCTTCGGCACTTGGTCTTCGCAAAAGTTTTAGCACTAGCGACGTATCTCAACTGCCAAGCCCAGATATATTGGGTCCGAGCGGGTTACGATCAGCTGTGTCTACTTTGGCCCTCAACACTGCCCAAAGGAATACTTTACTTTTGGAACATGCGCGTCTTGATCATGCTTCAAGATCCTGCAGTACGTGGGTTGCTGTCGGCGAACCAGTTGCGAACACGTCGCAGCTTCCTAGTCCTCATGGCGGAGCTATGCAGGAACAATACCAACAACAAACGTCTGCTTCTCAGTCTACTCAACAACCGCCAACTACGCCACATCCACCTATACCTTTTACAGGAGCTGACTTTGTTAGGTCTGTGAACAAGAAAGTTCGCCAAAATTACATACGACGAAGGTTAGTTTGAAAATTTATTCATTTCTAGTCAATTTCATATGTTTCTTCTTCACAAGTATAAAATAAGAGTAAGAAAAAGTAAACGTAAAACTGTAAATCTCAACAATTTTCTGTGGAGATTTATTTATTAAAAAAAATGAAAGCCTATCTATTAGATGCAAGATTAAGATGCACCAACGAAATCACATTAAAGTAATCCATTATATTTGATCTTAACAAAATTTCTTTTATTATTTCATATAAATTTTTAAATATTAATTCAAAATATAATTTCCTTCTTCTCTCAGGACTGTTTCCCATCTATTAACCCATTTTTCAAATCTACTTTTAAAAAAATTTACGGGTTTTGAATTAAAATAATCTTTGATGTGGTGTTGCACTTTGGTTCAATTTTGAAATTTTTTGTCACGAATGTTATGTTCCAGAGATCTAAAAAAGTAGTAATCGATAGGTGCTAAATCAGGAGAATAAGGGGAATGACTGAGAACTTCCCAGTTTAACTTACGAATTTTTTCACGGGTGATCGATGCTGCTATGGAGTTTTGCGTTATCGTGAAGGATTATTTGCTTTCGATTGACTATAGCTGGTCGTTTTTCCTTAAGTTTTCCCTTCAATCTTTCCAATTGTTGGAAATAAACATTAGCTGTGATAGTTTCACCTGGTTTTAATAGCTCATAATAAATAACACCAGAGATGTTCCACCAAACGCACAGTAAAACCATTTTAATGTCAGTCCTGGCTTGACAGATGGAATAGGAGCTTGGCTGGGAGAAAGCCATTGCCGTTTTCGCTTTCTGTTATCGTAGACGATCCATTTTTCGCCCCCCATTACAACACGGTGTAAAAACGGGTCATTTCTGTACCTTGTCAGCAAAGAATTGCAAATCGTTATCCTCTGCTCCTTATTATATCCGGCTGACAATTCATGTGGTGTCAAAATTCCCATTCTGTTTGTTTTGCCAATGAGTTTTAAATATTCTTGCACTGTTGACCGAGGAGAACAGAGCTTTTCTGATATTTCAATCGTCAATCGTTAACCTTGGATCACTTTCGACCAGCGAGACCAAAATGTCGTCATCAAAATTCGACGATCTTCCGGATCTTGGAGTTCCTGTCGCCAGATTTTTCTAAACCACCGTTGAAATCTGTTTACGGTTAAGACACTGCCGTAAATATCAATGATTCTCTTCGTTGCTTTAGTAGCATTCATTCCCGCATCGAAAAAAAAGCAGCACGCAATGCCTGATATGCTCTTCGTCAACAACGGGCTTTCCAGTTATGTCCAGAAAAACAAAGTTAATGAACCCTTAATTAGAACAAATACCAAAAAGTGGTCCTTACATTACAACGTACCAGCGTAGGCTGCCGGCCCAAAGTTTAAGCATAAAAATAATGGATTACTTTCCGCTCCCCCTGAATATATTGCAATTTAACCATTCTCTTGCAAAATTATATTACATACATATAGTTTATCTTTCTTTATCAGCAAGGAGTTACGTTCTTACGATTACCAAAGTATCGATTCAATCGTTGAATATTACGACAATTTAGAACTCCTTTTAAGCATAGTACACTTTTGTGATTCATTACTATTATATATTCTAGCTACTGAGAGATAATTTCTTGTACGAATCGTTGCGAGAACGTTTCCATGCCTTTTCACTGTTATCTGACTGCAACATTTTGACATTTTAATATTTAATTATTCTCTAAACGTGAATAACAGTTTGATCAATCGTTGTTATGTTACATTACGTTTATCGAATGATAAGACCGATTTTATTTACTAATTGAATATAGTAGAACTTGCATTAGAACGATAACTTATGGATTGAAAACCCTGTCTACCCAAACTACTCTACCTCATGCAACATAATGTATACAGGATCATTCTTTTTTCGAGTTGTCTCTAAACATTCTTTCTTTTATTCTCCATGCCTCTTTTATCGATATGTTTGCTTTTCTGACCCTTTTCCTTATACATACGCCTTTCAACTTTCATTTCTTTGGAATCTCATCCTTAAATACACAAACTCTTCAACTGTTTCATTTCTCCATTCTTGCTTCTATCTTTAGTTAGACTTTTTACTCGTGCCCTTGTCTCCTCCAAAAATCAGCGTTTCCGATTTTTCTGTATTCAGCGTCGTCCCTTTTCTATTTAGATATTTTTTTTTAAACTCTTTCCCATTTCTCCCATTTCCTTTTTTCCCTCTGATACGAGCGCAATCTAAAGACAACCATAATCCAAATTTCTTCTTACCTATTCTTTTTTTCTCCACCTTGTGTTCTCCTTACTTGTATTTTTCAAATTCGATATGGAGATGAAGAATGGATTCAGATGGAAAATTTGTCTAAAACTCCTCAGTAAACTCTTCTTGCAGTCTTACCACGTTCTGTACTTTCTCTTATGTTTCTACAACTTCTTTGTCCATTTCGTCGAAAGTGGCCTTCAAGTCAACGAAGAATGCAAAACAATTTGCCTGAAATATACACATTATCCAACGTCCACCTATTTTTCGTAAGATCGGCCTGAAGATCTCGTTCAGTAATCCCTTCTCATCTATATTCTTTTTTTAATTCTTTAATCACTTAGTATTGCTGCATAAATCTCACAGGCTGAGAGCTGTGTAATTCCCTTGTGGTTTTCCACACATATCCTTTTAAATATAATTAGTAAAACAACTGTAACATTGTAACATCATTTTCCAAGATAGATGGATAAATTGCAACACAATTTCTTTTTAACGTTAGGGTTGAAGGTTAAGATTAATTTTTTAATAGCTCTTACGAATCTCAATCATTGCCGTATATTTTTTATACATTTTACACAAAGAAATATAATCTTATTATTATTTAAAGTGAGAATGACATCAAATATTCTAATATTCTCGATCTTTTTTCATCTTTTTTTTTATCAATACGCCAGCATTAAAACATAAAAAATAAAAGTGTCCATTTTTACGTTTTTCGTTTAGCAATTGTAACAATTAGAAAGCATGATACAATACATAGACAATTACAGTTGGTTGAATATTAACGTTTAATTTTCACAATTTGTAGATTATTAACGACATATCGCGCTTTGGAACGACTTTCACAAAGCGAATTCAATTTAGATCAATTGGAGATGGTAGCGAGTGCAGCGCAAAGTGCTTCTGGAACTACATTGCTGGTCCCCGGAGCAACAGCCACTGCCGGAGGACCCGCACTATTGGGACAAAAGGAGCGAAATCATGCTTTAACCATCAAAGATGTTGAGAGAGAACGCGGAAATCAATTATCGAAATATGAGAGAAACATGATGATTTTTAACTGGCTGCATACTCTTGACGATACTGCTATTGTTGACAGTATAGAATAAATTGTTTTAATCGTGCTAGAGACCGAAAGATTTCACCGGTCGATGGCAAATGAAAACTCATCATGCCGCAGAAAAAATGCAGGGGCAAAGAAATGTTTTATTTTAAATAAAAAGAACAGAGGAAGCATATTACGGTGTACAGAAAGACGTAAGTCGCGTTACGATGAAAGACGCGTGTATTCAAAATTCAGAAATGCCGCCCATAAGCGTAGTGGTTACGATGGTGATCACCATGGCGAAACCATGACGCAGATTTTGCTAAGTAGTTAGCGACTGAAAAATATCTAACCGACTATGTAGATCTTTTGATCTCTGGTATAAACATTTTGGGCAATTATAATTAATCTTTTCACCACGCTTAACGTTTCATTACGATAGGCACAAAAATTTATATTGGACATTACACATTAAAAAATTCAAATTTCTCGCAACAAATTGAAAACACTGAAACTTTATTCATTCTTTTACAATTGAAAAGATTATTTTTATAATCCATTGACGCAATGGATTATAATTTTACAATACAGTGTTTCGAAATGCACCATTTAAATGTGAAACAGTCGAGCGAGCGCAGCGTGTAATGTCGCTTGTACTTATTTCCGAGTGTCCCGAAAGACTAGTGCCAAAATGATAATTGAGTATTCAGCTACAGATCAGATATATATATATATATATATATATATATATATATAATACGTACATATTACATGATGAAAAAGATTCAACATCGGAGGATGTTTTATAAGAGTTGGGAGATATCAACTATTTGTTGTCTGTTAAGCAAAGTTATATATATCTAATACTGTTGATTTTGTGACTCTGTAGGATTTCTAGTTAACAAACATATGACTGTCACCACGCACGGTTACTGTTTATGTAATTTTACGAGATTTTATATCACAATGGACGCTTTAGTCCCTCTTTTCGCTATAAACTAACTAAAAATTCTATTGTTCATCAAACCAGATTCTTTCGAATAGTTCTTTCCGCGTATTACAAATTGTTCAAAGTGGCCCTCACATCCAAATGCAGTTTCTGCGTATACATCAACTATTTTACGTAACTTTATAAATAAAAATCAAACAGCCAAACATGCTAGTGCTCTATAAATACCCTTTTTTTTTTTTTTAAACTCCCATCAAAGGTTTAAATGTTGTATATAGATTTGAGGCAATACGTTGTATTGGGATACGGTCGTTACTATATTTTTGAGAAAATAAATTAATCTTAGGGAAAAGCTTACGTATTTAAAAGAATTGTTATATTTTAGTTTCAATTTATTAGCAGTATATAATCAAGTATGAAAAGTTATATATAAAATACTTTGCTCTAGGATCAAGAATAGAATATGCACAAACACGTACGTGTACGCGTGTACGTTCGAAGCATAAATTTGTTGTCGTTTTCAAATATTACAAGAGAGGAAAGAGTTACCGATTAAACAATTGTTTAGAATTGTTTTAAGTTCAAGGCAAATTAATGGACAGTCTTAAGTTTTAATTTGTAGTTGAAAAAATATTTCAAAGTTCGAAGAATTGTTACTTGTTTTTAAAATGTTGACCTTATTCTTCGACGTTTGAAGAATTTCTTATGAAATTAAATTTAAACAGAGAACAAGATATAAACGTTTTCATTTCATTGTATGTGTTGTATAATTTGGCATCTTTTAATAAGACAGTCATTTGTTTATCACTCATCGACTTTGCAGAACCATAAAATCAAGAGTATTGTACAACTTTATTTGAACGACTCGACACTTTATTAATTGTAAGGTCACAATGGCTCCTCGTTGTCTTTTATAATCTTGATTGAACAGCTTTGTCTTACTTGTAATAATAATTATCATTACGTCGTGTTGATGCTTTTGACTTTTCAATGCACATTATTGTACGCACGAACAAACTTTTTATTTTATTTAAGCGATTTAACATGTGAGATTGGTCATTGACGATATACAGTTTGTCACAAACATATTTGGACACTGGAATAGATTTGAGTGGTGTATTTTGTATTTTAAATAAATAAATACAATTGATAAAAAAAGGATGTATCATGCTATGCTAGAGTATAATTTCTAGATTACAAAAATGTAAAAATTTTGTATTTCTTACATATGATGGTTTAAATAATAAAGAGAAATGGAAGATTATCTAATTCTCACTTTGTGAAAAACAATTCGGTCATTGTGTAAAATTAAACAACTAAAATACCAAACGTTTCAATTCAATTTTTTCACATAATAATTCACATTGATATTTCGTTATTTTGTTGTATTTTGGCAACTTTCTCTATATTTTAGTATGTAATAATTACAACAACTACAAGAACTGTTATATGCTATGGAAACTTGGATAAAATCGATGAAAATTTTTCAGTTCTCTCTTTCCAAATACTCTTCTCTGGTCATCTTTCTTTGTTTCCACTTTTCACAGATATTTCTTATCCTTTTTTTTTATCTCGCACTCCCTTCCCACCATTCTGTATATTCTCTCTCTCTCCCCCCTCTCTCGTAGAATTGTCTTTGCATTCATTTTCCTTTCGTCTCCTTCTTTTAATTTCTTTTCTGTTTCTGGCATATTTGTTCTTCTACCACAGACGAAGTAACCAAATCCCTACTTCTTTATCACTGTCGTAAATGTTAAATTTTCATGTAAAATATATTCTTCTGTTTGAATTAATATACGGCTTTCTTTTGATTTTTGACTACTGCAGTTTTTCTCATAATTTTTCCACACGTTTTTCCCAAAAAAGTTAATGGAACTTCGTCATTCATAAATTTATGTTTCCTTCATTTTAATTTAAAATGAAACAATTTTGGTATATTGTAATGTTTCCTTTTATTAATAGAGGTTCTTACATCTGATTACGCAAACAACATATGAAAATGCTCCCAAACTAAAAAATTGCTTTGATTGATCTTGAAATTATGACTATCCGAAGAAAATTTTTGTATTCTTATTTTCGAGTACTCGCACATCTTTATGAAAAATGCAAAAAATATTATGATCGATTCAAATCAATTATATACGATTATATTGCTATTATTTACAATATTTATACATTTCACAATAAAATAGAAATAGCGTGTTATTAACAATTAAACAAGAATTGGTTTTTAATACAACTATTATTGAGTAGATAAGATGTTATTAGTTTAAATAGAATGAAACATCTCGTGCAAAACATCTCTATAATTTCAAATTGTTTGACAATCACTGTATAATGTACGAGAAAATGTTTCAAACAAAAATTGGGTGGTATCGAAGAGAACATTAGCTTTTTTTACAGATATGTAGAGATCAATTACAATTTTTTAAAAATGGAATTATATTTTTTAATGTCTTTATCAATGCAACTCCTGATCCACATAGAAAAGTATTAAATTATTCGCATTAAAAAATGTTTAGGAAATATTTATCATTTCAATGTTACGTTCGTTATTCAATATCTCGTAAACTAACGCTACGATTCCATTTAAAAACCGTCAATGTTTAACCAAGGTAATGTATACCTGCATTAAATAAAAATTACTGCAATGTATAAAGATCGACAGTTTATTATGAACAAAATTATATTTCTTAAAACTGAAGATAAATATTTTCATATTTCTTCACAAAATAGGAACTATAAACATTCAATTTTATTTCTATGAATTTTCAATTCGCTGTCACATATTTAAACAAGAACTGGTTTTTAGTACAATTGTTACATTTATGAAACACAATATTTACTCCTTGAAATTTTCATTTTGCATTTAAAATCAAGTATATCTGCTTGAAAATTCGTATGTTAATTTCTTACCTTCAAAACGTGTTAAATATCCATTTGCAATTAACGTGTAAATTGTATTCAGGATTTACATTATATTATTAAAAATTTTATATTGTAGCAGTGAAAAATTATCAAAGAAAGAAATGTTTTCAAAAATAATAATGTCATAGGCGACAAAATAATGTTATTTTTCGAATTTTCTATTACTTTGTACTTGAAAATAAAAACTTTTCATACAATAAAAGTTTATTGCAAATTTATAACATTTAAAGGTAAAAAGTGATAATACATTTAATAATTCGAAAATATACGGAAATGTTACATCGTAGGTAAGAAAAGGTGCAAAACAAATTTAAATATCCACATATTCCATATTACAAATATAACATTGAACGCATCTTAATCATTCCAAAAAATTATAGCTATTAAAAAGTAGAGTAAATATTATCAGACTTGGTTATTTTTTGTAACTACATTTTTCTATGCAAACATACAAATAGTTTGTATAGTTGGTATAATAAGAATATTCTTACATTTCCGTAATTCATTTTTGAAGACAATGAATGTATGTTTTTTTTTTTTATGTAAAAAATAACTTTAAACTAATGGTTAAAATTACTTAAATTACAATTATTGTTGTTGTTTAACTTAAATGCTCCTATACTGGAGATCTTGTAATTAATAATTTTTGTATTAGTTTTAATAAATTATTTATAAAAAGCACGAGTAAAATAAATTTATAGAAGTCACATAGTTTTAATTAAGCATATAGAAAAGATTTAATACTTTCATTATTACTGAAAATATCAAAATAGATTAAAGAAATATTTTACACATATATATGGTACTGATATTTTCAATTATAATATTAGTTCAAAAAGATATACTTGTTAACTGTTACTTCTATTACAAATGTCATATTGTAACAGTTTATATTCTATAACAATTATATAATTTTTACTAAATTTCTGTTAGTGGAAAATATCAGTATAGATTTCTCCACTTGTTTTTGCTTTAAATATCATCAATGACGACATTTCTGCGCTAATTTTTTAAATTATATTTATAACTAACAAATAGTACCTATGTCAAACATTCCTCTTGCGTAATTTTGCTTTCGCTTCTTTTAATAAAAGATCAAATGTGTTATCTTCGCCACCTTGCAACATGTATCCATTGTTAAATGAACTGCTTGCCATACCATCTATATTAAAGAAATATTGCATTAAAATATATTATATTATTCATAATTATATCAATTTTTTTAAATTGACATTAGCTATATTAACACATTGCGTATGGATCATGAGATATCTACATAGCAAATCACGCTTTGAGGCCTGGTTACGAGATATTTCGTTTTAATATTTTGTTAAACCTGCATATCGATAACTCGAGAAACTAATAATATGTTGATTTTATATTCTATATTTGTCAAATACTATTGCACAAAAGAGGAGAATGTTTCACTAGATAGCATCACAGCGCTCCAAAATGTGCGGGCGTAGAAGCGCGTTGGGCACACCGAGTGCAGTTGTCAATGTGTTAATTTTATGAAGTATAATGTCTATGTAAATTTTTCAACCATAAACTTCAATTTTCATTGAATCGAGGTATATACAATACATATTAAATATTTTTTTTTCAAGTATTGTTGTATACTTGAAATTAATTAATTAAAATGGAAGAGATTGTTATGATTTCTCGAAAGAAATTGTTGTTTTATATGTATATTTATATAATGTGTAATTTTTTCTTACCAAGATCGGCATATTTCACTTTGCAAAAAGCACGACGACCTCCAAAACATAAATCGTACCTAGGTAAAGCGGGGTCGTCATTACCATGTTCTACAGCTTCATAGGCGTCATTTTTGTAAGCAAAGGTTACAAAACCATAATTGTCGCTGAAATGTAAAGTGTAATGTAAATTTGTTACATTTTAATGAATATGACGAAAACTTTGACATATGAAAAAAAGTTACCCGTGTTCGCGAAAATGTATACTAATATCTACTACAGGGCCAAAGGTTTCAAATCTTCTACGTAAATCAGCTTTAGTGATTCCTTCGTCCAAGCGTCCAACATAAATTACTCTCCGCTCCTCTACTTGTTTTTGTTTTTCTCGATCATACCAATTGTCATAGGATCGTCGGTATGAAGTTGATGGTGACCTAAATAGTCAATAAATAAATTAATACCGAAAGATTGTAATTTGATAAATCATTTTCATACAAGACTCGAACTGTTAAAAAAAGTTATGAATTATAAACGATAATATACCTATTTCAAATTGAGTGAATCTTGTTGTATAATTTTGAAAATAGTTCATTATATGTAGAAATACATACATATATATAGTGTTATAATGTTAAAGTTAAAAATTTCAAGTAAAAGTTACAAAACGGAAAACATACACAGACAAAATGTATATTATTTATATGATCTATTTTATGTTCTTTCTAAATAATTATAGTTTCTAATAAATTCACTCAGCCTTTTCTAAATAGTTATTTAACATCATTTTAAATATATTTTTCAGCAATGTAACATATAAATGTTTTAATTTTTAAAAACGTACAATTTAGAATAAAATAATAACAAATTCAATATTCTTGTTCATTTTCAAAATGACATCTGAGATAACATGAATAAAAATATACTATATGGTTAATTAAAATTATGAAAGAAAACACAAATAAAAGCTAAGTATTTAAGCATATTTACGGTCATAAACTGAATTATTTGCCATCTGAAAAATCTGTTAATGCTTGTAAAAAGGGAGTTTTAAATTTTATTTGACAATGTCAATGTGAAAAAGAATTCTATAATGATTCGTACAAAAAGATAACGTAAGTATGAAACAATTTGAAGATAAATAAGTGTACAAACGTCGCACAAATATAATCACACCGTAAATGTAAATAACTTCAAATATCTTTTATAATGCAAGACTGCCATTTTATTCTCCCATTATATTCATCATTACGGTAAGGATACGAATATAAAGGAATTTAATCATGTAAATTAACAAAGTTGAAACTTCATATTTCAGATCGTGATACCTACCAAATTTCATCTCGACTGGCTATTTAATAATTAACTGTGACATGTAGAATTATTGTAACAAAATTTCACATAAAAAAATTGCTACAGCAACTTCAAAATTTCAATTTCAAATTTACAAATAAAAATTTAATGATCTTTTATAGTAACTATAGTTATCAGTTACTTACCTTTTCCAGTCTCTGTAGCTATGATACCTTGTCGTAGAATGCTGTTTGTGCCTATCATAACTTGTATAATGTCTTCTATTTGATTTTCTTCTTTTCGACCATTTATTTCTTCCGAAATTTGAACGAGACGAAGACCTGTAAATATTTCTCACAATTTTTCCAGATCTACTCACTTTTATTGGAATTTCATTAAATGATTTTAAATAAATAATTAAAAAATCAATTTCATAACTATGTACCTGGAACAACTGGAATAACGAGAAGATGATGGTGATCTTGATCTAGACGATCTGGAACGCGATCGTGAATATCTTGATTCCGAACTGAAAGAAGATCTTGTTCTTGAACGTGAGCGATAACGAAAATGTGATCGCGAATGCGAACGGGAACAGGAACGGAAACGTGAACGTGAACGTGAACGCGAATGCGAATGCGAACGTGATGACCAACTACTACTTGAGCTAACGGAGCTACGTCGATGACTTATTCTTCGCTGACGTGTATTATTGCGTTTACGAGATCTACTGCGGTTACTACTGCTTCTGCTTCTGCTTCTGCTTCTGCTTTTGCTTCTGCTTTTGCTTCTGCTTCTGCTTCTGTTTCTACTTCTGCTTCTGCTTCTGCTTCTACTCTTGCTTTTACTTTTACTTCTTGATTTAGATCGGTTTGAATTGGAACCAATTCCGTGCTTTCTACAAGACTGTTGATTTTTATCTCGTGCATTATTATCTCTGAAAATTACAAATTTTTATGAAATATGTATAAATAAGAGTACAATTATACTCTCATCGTAAATATTTATCTAATTTGAATTAACTGTAATAAATGTTTATTTAATTTTAATTTTTAATTTTTTAAACGAGTTCTTTGAAAATTTAATTTAATTAATTAAATTCATAAAATGTTTATATTTGAACACGTTCTTTCAGTTCAATCTGAAAATAGAGATATCTATTTATTTACTTTTTATTATATATATGTTTCAATAATATCAACAATAATATACATTTTCCATTTTCCACTTTAACTTTTGTATTATACATCATATGAACAATAGCAGGAAATATTAAACTGATTTCAAACATGTTTGAGGTATTAAACAATATTTCAAACAATGAAATCTCTAATTAAACTATGAAGATAAGAAATTCAAAATATTTGTAGTTTTAAATATTTTTTTTTATTGTAAATAAAAAGCGACTTTGCATAAAACAAATATAAAAAGATAAATAATAATAAAAGGAAATCAATAAAATTTTACTTATTTATAAACCAAATATAACTGTAAGACTATATATAATAATATAATATATCTATAGTATAAATATCTGTACTATAATATAATATTCTGTATAATATAATATGCAGAATTAATTAATGAAAAGTGTCATGTGAAATGGCTCCTTATTTATTAACTAAATTTAGAAACATTTGAGATTTTTCCGATATTCCAAAAAATTTGAAATATAAAACAATTATATTGCATTCATTCAATAAGTTATATAGAACATATAAAACATATAAAATTAATAGAGTTATTTCGGATAGCAATTTTTACTAGCTTACACTTTTATATTTTTACCTTTGTTGCTTGAATCTCTCATCAACATCAATTAAAGATTTTGTAGGAAATTCAAATACTGTTTCATACGTTTGAATTGCTATATCACAAGTAACTGGCTTTGGAACTTTCTTTTCATCTGTATCTAGTTTTGGTTTTAAAACTGAGACAATTTCTCTCTCTGACCAAATCAAATTTTTAGGATCGTCCTGGATAGGTTCAGTTGTAGTGAAAGCATGATGAACATATACTAGTGTCATAGGTTGCAATGGTGAATTTGTTCTACTATTATCACTACGATTTTGTTCCATTCGACTTCTATATTCTGCCAAATTTAATTTCTTTCGGGGAGGCTTTTTTTCTTCCTCCTGTGTAGATGCTTTTTCACTCTCTTGAACAGTAGTATTCTTTACTTCATCATGTGAACCATTACTAGTAGTAGCTACTATATTTTCATCAAGAATAGTCTTCACGACGGATGCTTGTACATTAGGAGGTTTTTTTAATACAGAAACCATTTGTTTTATTCTTTGAGTTCCTACTTTTATAGATTTCGAATCTTGTTTATTCACAATACCTTGTCGTATTCGCAAAATATTAGCTGCTAGAGCTGAATGTATTTTCATCTGTGACTTTAAATTACTTGTAGAAGTACAGTTGGAAATATCGTTTGAAATATTACTACGTTGACAATTTTCCTCGCTTGTTGCTACTTCTTTTCTGCAAATCTTTGTTTCATTTTGTAGTTGCATCATAGATTTATTATTTTGAATATCACTAACTATTGTAATTTCTGGTTGTTTTTCATTGTTCTCATTAACATCACCAGATTCCAGATCACTCTCTTTTTTTGAATTACTATCAGTTAAATAATCTTCCTTTTTCATAAAACTCTTATTTAAATTTGACGGAGATGAAGATTGTTCTTCACACGCTGTATAATAACATAATAAACGTACATTGTCATTCTTAATAAAAGTCACTTTCTCAGAATCAACTAGTCTTTCATACTCACTATTACTCTTTAAACCACTAATGGAGGAATTAATACTACAATAATCATGATCCAGTTGAACCAGTCCACTATCAATGATCTTATTTTTAGTATTGTTTGTGACCTAACGTAATAAAATAAGCATTACGTTACTTATACTTATTTAAATATCATGATTATTCTATAATAGTAATAATGATACTGATGACAGTAATAATAACAATAATAATAAGTATGACAGAGAAAATTTTTGTCATGATAACAGTAATAATAACAAGTAAAAAATTGTTTACAACTGTAAAAAGAAAGAAAAAAAAGAAATAGTCCAATTATACAAAATCCAACACTAAGGGCTTTTTAAATCTCTAATTTATGTTTCAACATAATATTTTTACTGGAATACTGATTATTTATTATTTTAAAAAAGTTAATGATTTAAATGTATTTCGTTATATGCATCATATACCAAAGAGATAAAGGTGAATGAACTATACTTAACTGTTTTTAAAAGTTTGTTTCGAAAGAGTGATGTAGCAGCATCTTGCATATGTGTTCCATTACTACCACCATTATTTTGATTACTAGGCATTGCTGGTATTATTGAAATCACCTTTTTACGTGCAGATGTCTAATATAATATAATACAATGTAGTAACTTTTATCCTTATTTACATTTCAAATGTTGATTTTGATGTATTCAGTGACAAAAACAAATATCACAAAATTTTGGTCGATTTCTATAGCTTGTATAAAAAAAAGTCACACAATAATCCATCTATAGTTACTTTGAAGAGTAAAGTCTCTTTCAATTTGATTTTTAGAAAAAATTTTTCTTTAAAATCTTTTCAATTTGATTTTAGAAAAAATTGTACGCTAAACGAAATGAAACTGAAAGATTGAAATGGAGCTTTCCTTTACCAAAATTTTATAAAGTCAAATAATTTTATATAGTTCATAAAAAATTCTGCTTACGATTAAAATTATGCATTTGAAGATCAAAGCTTTCTTTATAAAAAATTCTTTTAAAAGGTATCCAATTATATGGATGTAACAAAATGGCGAAGAAACATAAATTTCTAAGAGATCATTGCAAAAGTGTGACAGTTTGATTTTCAACACAGATTTTCTTTTCAAAAATTGGAAAAATCAGACGAGATTAAATATTTTTATTCCACAATTAATAAATCACTATTTTAGAGATTAAAAACTTCCAGCTATACTTTTCGTAAAAATAGTATTTAGGAAAATTAATTTAAGAAAGTGAAATGAGATTTTATCCTTTAAGATGGTGAAATGATTATAAATAGATTATCGTACAACTTTTCTTTATACAGCTAAATTTTATAAAGTTAACAGCAAAAAAGAAATGACAATTTTTCCATTGCAATTGTATAATTTTGTCTCATTAATCATAGTTACCTTTATCTTTTCAACAACTTCTTTGGGTAGACCATCTCTAATATTTTTATGCAAATTTGAAATTTGAGACTGTTCTATGCACTGTTGAGTTTCATTAGATTTTACAGATGACTTCAGCTCAGATTCTACATTCATTTCGGTAGATGGACAAGTTGAAACTAAAGCATCTTCAGAAGCTTCAAACTGCTCAAGTAAACTCTTAACATCTCCAGCTTCTAGAACTATAGTAAAAAAAAATCATTTATAAATAATTATTTTAAATAAATATTCGTATTCAAATTTCTGTTTCAATATACCTGGTAGATTTGTATGTTTATTATTATCTTGATTATTATTTTGTATATCCTTATTATGCTGTACATATTTCTTTTTTTTTTTCTTTTTCGGCTTTACTATCAACTTTTCACTCATATTAGTAACTGTGTCTTTTTTCAATTTACTTTGGTTTCTTGAATGTTTGGTTTTCATCAATGGTGATTTTTTTTTTATTTCCATTTTCATACTATCACCTCCCACAAAGTTATCATTTTTACGATGTGAATTATCTTCTGTCGTATACTCTATAAAATATAACTTTATGTTATGATAAAAATAGTCGCTAATTATGTAAAAAACATATTACGTTAAATTAATCTATGCCTTTATTGGTGTTTTCTACATCTAATATACTCTGATTGCTATGAGAATATTCTTTCCCTATATTTTCTTGTTCCATTATAAGGAAATTAGATTCTACAGTATGCATTGTTTGTTCATCTTGAACTATACTTTCTGCAGTATAAAAATTTCTTTTATCTGTACCATTCATGCTTAATCCTATGATATCCATGTATTCATCCGTATCTGAAGCCTGAAAGAACTATGAATAAAAATTTCATTCATTAAAAATAGTAAATTTATTAACTATAGTATTAGCAAAACCTGCAAGTAACCAATGTGTTCTTGCCAGTCTGTAAGAACTTTTGCAAAATCTTCTTTAAAACTGTCAATTGTTGAAACTGACACTTCATCCTCATCCTCATTGTGTCTGAAATTACATAATTCATTGATCAAATTTTAATTTTGTAATATTTATCATAAAAATATTATACTTACTCATGTTCTCTGTTCCATAAAATATCAGAATTTGCAATATCGAAATGGGTTTCCATGTAATCGAAATCATTTTCAACTATACGCATTAATAAATCTTGAGGACTTTCCCTAAAGGTTTGCTAAAATATGACAATATGTTTTCATTTTATATATAGTACTACTATAGTTCAGTACATTGGTACTTATTTTTTTATATATAGTACTTTAATACTTTTAATACATTTAAAATTGTTGTATCCTTTAAAATCGTTAAAGAATAAATTTTTATCATATTATCCAATTAATCTATTACTTTGTTTATGTCAATTTTATAATTTCTACACTGTTTGTATTTAATATGTAAAGAATGAAATTATAACAAGACAAAAAATAAATAAAATAATCTTGAATATGTTTAATTACAATCAAAGTACAAGAATTGTAAATAAAAAAAATTATTTATAAAATTGCTTAAGAAATTTTATATAGCTAATATTTAGACTTGTATTACTTTTATTATTGCAAAATTACAAAATTTCATATATAAACTATAACCTAAAAATTAACTATATCAGATATTCATACATATCATTTTCAAAATTTATCCGATATGTACCAATATAATATAACAAAAAAAAATTAATTAAAATAAAATATATATATTAACTTTTATACACAGGTAATATATGCATAACTTATCATTTATTAATACTTTATGGATATTTCTTATGATATAAAATCTGTATAATTCTTTCTTTTTAAAACTTAAATATAATTCTTTCTTTTTAAAACTTAAATAACAAATTATGTCAGTATTCATTATTCAATAAAAATTTGACGTGTTCGTTACACGTTATTAAATTTTACCTGTTCTGAAGACAATGGAAAGTCAGAAAATTGTTCTTCATCATAAAAATTTAAAAATTCAGTCTCCATGACACAATTTTCAACAGTACATTAAAAAATTATCGTACAACACCAATCTGTAATTAATATTAAAATATTAAAAAATACAGTAAACAAGATATTTCATTCATTGTCTAAACAACCACGCGTTTATTTGAGGTTATATTCGAACAAAGTGTGATTCGAATTTTACTGTACTCGTATTATGGTCAATGTATACAATAACGTTACTATTTATTATAAAATAAATACCGATAATTATCAATGGTTAGAATTAAAAACAGATAATATGAAATTTGCAATTAGTTACCTTCGAAATTAAAAAACATTAATATTCGGCAGACATCAAACTGTCAAATGAAATAATACAGAATTCCAAGCGAATAATTAAAGTACGTGCACTAAAAATATACTATAAAACTGTAATTTATTTGTCTAATCTAGTATTATGTCTTGATGAAAATTTAATTTGTAATGTCTCCGATGCTACACAATCATTGTTTTAATTATGTTACAAATTTCTTTGTAGGTTCGGACCACGCTTCTCCACGCGCGTACGTATACACGACACACGAGACACAAACATACACATCATGAGCGCACGTGTATCAGACGCGAGTAAAAGCATAAGGAGATACGTAAAATGCCACGCCTCCCACTTATTGAGAAATTATTAATTACCAATGCAAAATTTTGCCGAATTATTGCTGATATATTTTTCATTCATCAGTACAAAATGTAATATCATCTACAAAGTTGTTTTATAAATGTCATTCTTAATAACATGTTCTGCAACGTGTCTCTACACAACGTGGTCTACCAATCAGATTTTCACGTATGTACAATACTTGTTTTATTTCTTTAGTATCACATATTGTAAAAAACTACGAACTGTAAACATTTAAAATTTTGTACTTACATGAAAAAAAATTATGTCACACGTGATCATACAATATATATATTTCTCCCGGTTTGACTATCGCGTGCACTGATGCAGTTATACATAGACATTGCACATAGTATGAACGTATTTGTATTTGTACAGGCAATTGAGCAAGTGACTATAGAATGTACAATTATATATTGTAATATTATTTTTACATTATGTGAAAATAAATGCCAAAATATAAAATGTATCGGATACAAAGTAAACAATAGTTTAAAATACAATCATAAAATTAATGATACAGCTGATTTTTCGTAATATTGTATGTAAATATATTAAATATATTTTTCCTATCAAAGAAACGTGAATTTTAATATAATTAAAAAATTCGTACATTTGTAGAAATATAGGCATCAATATTAAAACAATATTAAATATTTAATACAGTTATTAACATATGAAATAAATTTCTAGTTTGAAGATAGTAATTTTTATTGTTGAAATGTAAGTATTTAGTAACTTAGTATTACTATAATATAACTAAATTGTATATATAAATAATATGTAAATAAATAAATAAATAATATAATTAATATATAATAATAAATATATAGGTTGTAAATGTAAATAAATATATAATATACAATTAAAATAATTTCGTGTCTTCAAAGCAATCTTAAAAAATTAAAATATAAAAATTAAAAACCAACCTAAATTTAGGCAGAACTGAAGTTAAAAATTAAAAAATAAAAATTATAGTTAATTAAATCGTAATAAAAAATATGCAAACCACATAATAAATACACATAAAATCTCATGTGTGTATTGTCTAAAATATTAAACGTTTGACTATTCTATATATGTATAATAATAGTTATTATTAATACCGATCTTAAAGATTTACTTTTTTGAAAAAATTGAATTAATTAATAAATTAATTAAACTTTTACCGATATTAGGATTATTGCTTTAGTTATTTGATAATTCCAAATTCATTATTGACACGTATTTGTGTTAATACATATTTAACATTTAATACATATTTCAGGAGGAAAAATATAAGGGAGGCATAATATAAGACATATAATATAAAAATATTTGATATGGCTATTTAATTTTAATAATGTTTAGTAATTGATTACAATTCAATGAAAAATTATCATTATTACGTGTAAAATTATTATTCATATACACTTTTATGATATTATTACTCTATTTTCACTTTTAACAGCAAATAATTGATTTATATCAATTATTGGTATTGGAGTTATAAATTAGCAACATAATCTTTTCTCTTTGAGATTAAAAATCCAACTATAAAAAAAATTAAAAATAAATTTTACTTTTTAATGTGTTTTTTCTCATATAAATTATATATAGTTTAATAATATAAATTGAATATCATTATGATTGTAAGCAAATTCATAATAAAAATAGTTATATGAAAAACATTTAATAAGACAATAGAAGATCTTTATTCCTATAAAATTAAATAAGTTGTGAAAATGTAGTCTAAATTTGTGCAACAACAATTTAAAATTATGTTTTGGATTAAATAGCATCACAATTATTAGCAAGAAATTAAGTTTTCTCCACTAATTTCAGGAACAAATATGTTATGTTGTAATAAAAAGGAAGAATTATGCGTCGACAATAGCAACTATGGTTAGTTTATAAGTAATAAATATTCATTATTATTGCCTCCTAAGTAATATTTCAAGTATGTAAAATTAATTATACGTAATGGAAATATCTAAATATTTTAATTGCTAATGGTAAGTTGATTACAATGGTTGATTAGAATTGATCAACGTAGAGAATCTAAACATAATCAAATGTTAATAGTTTTTTGTAGATAGATGTGTAGAATACATACAAAGATCAACTTTGTTTTTTTAAATGGAATTACGTAATATTTAATATATATCATACGAGATCCATTTTGGCATTTCCTAAAAAAAGATATTCAAAATTTATGTTGAAAAATGAATTAGTTTAGCATTTTAGTTTTAATTTTGTAAAACTTATTGTATAAAAAACAAGAATAAAGTAAACGCTAAAATACCACTTATGCCTTTCTTCATCTTTCATACAAAAGACTTTATAAAATTAAAACTGAAATATATATCTGCTAAATTAATGATGTTTTGATGTAGATTGGTTAATAAGTTTTTTTTATGTACAAAGTTTTACTTGTGCGTATTAAAAATTATGCAATGCCATTTATAAAAACAAAGTTGACTTTAATACTTTTTCCACTTATAAACAAACTAATGTCAAATTATATTCTCCTTAATACTTTAAGCGTTCTCATTTAAGTGAGCTACATTGTATATGTGCACGTAAATTTATAAAACGATTATAAAGTTATTTGGTTTGAGAAAGAAATTGGAAATATTAATTTGTAATATTTCCTTAATGCTAACTTCCTTAATTCACTAGTACAATAGAACCTCGATTATATATATTATCTGAGCAATATTTCTTCTACCTTTTGCACATATTATTCATATAGTATTCACTTTCTTCTATGAAAACCACTGAAGATAACTATCAGAACAAGATGTCTTTATAATATTTTACTGTTGTTAGTATGAAACAGATAGTGCCATTGATTAAATTAAAATATGAAATAACGTGAAATATAAAAATAATAGAAAATATGAAAGAGCTTAAGAGTACCAAGTATGCAATAAATGGAGTTCAAAAATAAAACATTAGGAAATCAATAATTAATAGTGCAAAAAATGAAGAACAATTAATTGAACATTATCTATATAACAATGATGTGTTTTCTTACTCTGGTGTATTCACTCAGTTTTTGAAAAAGATCAGGTGATGTGAAGCACAAAAGGCAAATTTAAATAATTAACAAAGTTATGGAATCTTTAACATTTTAAGTCTAAAATATATGAGCTATATATGATTTAAATAAAATATATAATCTAATTGTAAGTCTAAAATATATGAAATTTAATATAGAAAAATTTGTTGTTTTATTACCCAAATACCAAATTTGTCTTACAATTAGTGTCGATAATCGAGGTTCTCGTATTTTCTTTATTAAATTAATTATTTGTATTTACTCAGATAGTAAACGTCTTATTTTTATTACATTAGATTTGAAAATAATATAATGTTATTTTAACAGTAATTAAAAACAGTATCAATAGAAAAATGATATCAAATAAACAAAATAATTTTATTTTCTGTTACGAAGCTGATACAGATGAAATTTATAGTAAATTAATTTTAATGTAGCGAATCATGATAATATTCACATGAAAAGAGGGTGCATATTTGATTGTCACTTTGGTTTGTGTCGAAATAACGAAGCATGTTTCATTCCTATGGGTTGTAATACCCTCCAATCAGTTAATAATGTTTCAATAAGCACATGCTTAGAACCTTGTCAATGTGCTGAAGAAATGGAATGGAATTGCTTTACACCACCTAAACCAAGTTGTAAATGGCTCAATAATTTTTGTGAGTTACGTCGCCAATGGAGTAATCATGCTCGCCAACAGAATTGTAGATGTTGCAATTGTAAACAGCGGTAAGAACACATTAATTCAAGCTTCATACATGAAATATTGTTAAAATGCAATTATTTTATAGTAGTACTATTTATTTAGTGTAATATTATAACAATATATATAACAATTATATTATGATAATTATATAACAAATATATATATATAATTTATTTAGTATAAAACTATTTTAGTATTTTAATACTAAAAGAAGTATTTTAACTAAAAAAGTGGTATATTTCCATTATTATTAGTACATTTTAACATCATAATCAATTCAATTATTGTATATTTCTTCAATCATATACTTTTGTCAAGAACATACAGGGTGTTCCATTTCAGTTAAATGTTTAAATTATTTTTAGTGTTATAAAGACAAAAAACAAAAAAAAGTTGGTAGAGATACAATAATATAAGTATATGGTTTCAGACGATGAGGATGAAAAATTTATTTCAATAATCTTGAAATATTTTGTCAAGGTCAACAACCTTTTTTTAGGCTTTAGCCAACAAGCTTTAGTTTTCATGATATTAGCAAAAATATATTTTAATATTTTAATCTCGATTAAATGGTCAATACACGTTGATAGAATACAAAGCATAAAACAAAACAGCATTGGAAGGCCATCTTAGGGAAACTAGAAGAAAATTTTGACTGAAAATAAAGATTTATTTTAATTTTAAGTTTTACATACCTTTATATTCATTTATAAAACATATATATTACATATACGTACAAAGAAAATAAAAGAAAAAAATATGTACATACACAAAGAAAAAATTCATTTTTCGCTGTCGAAAATTGAGGCTTTTCTGAAATTTTTAGTTTTTTTGCTGACAAAGTCGTCTAACGTTATTTGTCATTTCTTTTCTTTTCCTCACTGAGCAACTTGTCTTTGTGTTTCTTTTGAAATTTGGATCATTCTGTACAAGTTGAACATAAATTTTAATTATTGACACTAAACATAGAAGATTTATTTAGATTCAGATCTTACGACTATTTTCAGTTACTATTTTTAGATTTCATATAAATCTCTTGTTAGCGTGGTAATTTTTGAAGACCGTTACCTGAAACTTGACAATTCTTAAATATTCCCGTTCATACTTTCTTCGTTTTACTCCTGTATTTAATCATCGTTTCTTCCCAAAGTCGATGCCATCTATTGGTGTCCATAATGCCATATTTTTTGCAAAATTGCATAATTGATTATTTATTTTCATTAATAAACTGCTGGAATGTTGCATAAACTATATAAAAATGTATAAATATACAAGTGTATTTTTGTCACTCATAAAATATTGGAATTTGTCCTTCCATAATTGATAAATGAAAAAGTTAGAAAAAAAAAAATCTAATTATTTCTCAGATATTATTATGTATGTGATAACAACAAAAATTTGATTACATTGAAAAACAAATTTCATAACTTAACCATCATATAATATACATCTCATTGAAAGAACTTGAATTTTTCATGTTACGTATGTGTGCTTAACTCTGTGCAGGCAACGAATTTGCAAATTTTGAGTACCCGTGAAACTTATGGTTATGGAATTATTACTTCTAATAATTCTAAATTTGACCATTTTTTTTCTCAATTTATCAAATACAAAAATGAAGAGATATCACTAAGGAAGTAATTTATTGAATCATTACATTCAAATCTTTTATGCATAAAATGTAACAAGAACTAATTGTACCTATTATAAAATAAACACTTAATATAAGAAAATTCGAAAAAGACATTGCTTTTTTTAATGAACTATGAGATACGATATTAGAAATGATTAAGATTAATTTATCTATAGCAATATGTATTTTATTTCAAGTCTCTTAGGCCAGAGTTAGGCGAATAAAACTTCGAATAAATTCTTCTAATAAATCTTCCAATAAAACTTCGAATAAAATTTCGAATAAATTATTCGATATTTACGAATAACGATTTTATTCGAACACACATTTGGGCATTATTCGAATAACATTTCGAATAAATTCTTCGAATAAAATTTTATTTGAAATATTTACTGAAATAATGTAAAAAAAGAGCCAGGAGTTCCTTTTTCACAATTTTGGTTTATTTAATAAATTTGCCTTTAGTACAATTTTTTGTTCGAACATTTTGTTGGTTAATTTGTTTGCTTTAGGCGAGTTTGTTATCGTTGCAAATAAAAACAAACATATTGAGAAGAATGGCTCGCTGTAGCATTTCGCTCCACGCTTATCTCGGCGTCAGTATAAACACATCGCACCACTCTGCTACCCTTGCAGCTCTTCTCTCTATGCTGATAATCCTTCGCCATTCTCGCGGGCATTCTCGCAGGCATCTTCTTGATACTGTTAGTGGTTCCTATCCTGTTGACGCTTATCCTGTTATTTTTATCGAAGATAAAGAGAAAAGGATAATTATTCAAAGTTTTAAATACACAGTTGACATAACTAACAGTATTTAAAACATTATTAAATTAATAAAACATACTCAGTATTTAATACATCTTATTAATAAAGCATATTTTTTTTACTTACCACATGAATCATATCCTTAAGTATCAGCTCCATTTCTGGTCTTGTAAGTAAAGACTCCAATTCAAATCTCTGTCTTGCAGCATTCATCTAAAAATTTTCACATATAGCTTGTAATTGTCAACATCATATTTATTTTTGAGTAAGAAATTCTCGTAATAAATTTTCTAAAGTATATCATTGAAAAGAATTTACCCACAGTTACTACCATTTATAAAAGTTATTAGTTTTTGTTATAAATAAGGTGCATGTAAACTTTGTTAGATAGATATATATACAACTTTTTACCTCCTCCTGTGTAATTTGGTCTTCAAAAAAATATAACCCAGAATTTGTACAACAGTATCCAAACCATGATGATGCTGCATACTCAAATGCATTTCTAGATGCTTGACAATCACACATACCTCCATGTTTTTCTAATGCAAGCATTATTTAGTGTCTTTGTTCTTATAAGTTTTTGTGGACTGTAAAAGTAAATTATTAATTTTTTTTTATTCCTTGAAGGTTGAGTTCTTCGTGATACTACAAAAAATTTCCAAACGCCAATTTTTCTAGGAAATGTGAGATTCTATGGGGATATGCATTTGATATCAAAGGCCAGACTCAAGTAATACTGCAAATAAATAATCCAAATGAAAGAGTTTTTTAAACTTACAGCACATTGTGCAAAATTTTTGTTCGTACCACACTGAAAAAGATATTACAAAACAAGTCTAATAATGCAAAGAGAGAAAAGGATATTTATTCAAAGTTTTAAATGTCATCAACATTTTCTTCTTGTTGCTTTGTTACTATGATTTAAATGATTTAATGTACAAAGAATCATTAATAGGTTATGTGGGAGATTCTTGTACTTGCGAAACTATTACCGTTAGAATAATTACTTTATAGTAAAAGCGACTATTGTCAAGGAGCTTTGCGACAATTGCATCAACATTTTTTTCTTATTGTTCGTACCAAATCATTTAACGTACATGTATATATCTAAATTTGTCACTTTCACACATCGTTCATAAATGGGAAATAATTATGAAGAATCAATATTGGAAACTTACTAGGAAAAAATGTGCCCATGAATAGTGTCTCCATCGTACGGCAACTATAGCGTCACGTTAAATTACTTTTTGGCGGGATATTTGAAATTATTATTAATAATTGGGTAAGATACACAAACATTTATACGCAATAATGTTTTGTAAAACAAAGTATTCCTGCAAAATAAAAATAAAGAAATCTCCCAGTCGATAACAAAAAATCAATGTAACCGACTGGTAACGAGAAAAAAATTAAAAATAAAGCAAAAAGAGAGTAACGCTAAGAGAAATAACACGAAAAAAAAACAACAGAAAATTAAAAAAAGTTTCTTTCAGTCGATAAAGAAAAACCAAGTTACCGACAGCTAATGAGAAAAAAATTAAAAAGAAAGCAAAAAGAGAACAACGCGGGGAGAAATAACACGAAAGAGAAACACAAAACACGAAAAAACAAAGGAAAATATAAAAAAGTTTCTCTCAGTCGATAAAGAATAAACCATGCTTCTGTGATAAGGCTCTTATCATTTCCATTTCCGGTTAGCGATCGAATAACCATAACTGGCCAGCTAGTAATATGACCAACGTTGATTGTAATAAGATCCAGCAATCAGATAACGATAAATGGAATGC